CTGCAAACGTGGTTAGTTCGGAAGTGGGAAGGGTTTTGGGGGAAAGATAACGTTCTTAGTTTTAGATGGAGACTTGGAGATACCGCTATAACGTCAAACTGGAAAATGTCCCAGCTGCTCCCGGCCGGTCACCACAGCCTCTCAGTACGCCCCCTCCCCCGGCCGGTCGCCACAGCCTCCCGGTACGCCCCCTCCCCTGGCTGGTCGTCACAGCCTCCCGGTGCCCCCCCTCCCCCGGCTGGTCGTCACAGCCTCCTGGTGCTCTCCCCTCACTCCAATGCTCTTCCTAAAGCACAGACCTGACCATGTCACTCTCCTACCCAGTAAACTCCAGGAGCTCCCGATCACCCCAAGTTCAATATGAAATCCTCTTTTTGACTTTTAAGGACCTTTATCATTTGACCCCCTCCTCCCTTTCTGGTCTTCTTTGCCTTCTCCTCCACATACTCTGTGTCCAGTGATACTGGCCTCCTCACTGCTCCTCAAGCAAGACTCTCCATCTCCCAGCTCTAGGCACTTTCCCTGGCTGTGCCCCATGTCTGCAATATCTTCCCTCCTGGCTTTCCCGGCCTCCTTCAGATCCCTTCTGCAAGAAGCCATTCTGGGACCTCCTTAATCTCTGTGTCTTCCCTCTGAGACCACCCCTAATTTATCCTGGCTAGATCTTACTTGTCCATGTTTGCATACTGTCTCATGCATTAGACTGTGAGCTCTTTGATATCAAGGACTGGTAGTCTTTGTATCCCCAGTGCTTTGCATATAGTAGGAGCTTAATAAATGCTCATTGATTTAAGTTGATGTGGGAGATGAGGTCAGGAGGTGGATCTATAGACCTGAAGGCCTTTTGCACAGACATAATGACGCCTATGGAAACTGATGAAATCACCAAGAAAGAGTGGAGAGAGAAGTGGGTCTTCGTGGTATGGGATGACTCAGGGTTTTCAGATGCCAAGGGAACTCAGTCTTGCAAGGCAAGAAGGGCTTTGTGGTACAGGCTTCCCCAAATGCACATGGTAGTGTATACATCTGAGCTGCATTTCTGTGTTTGGCCTTTAAGACATGGATGGTGGAAACTCAGGAGAGCATGAGAGTGGGCAGAGAGGAACAGAATGTACCTGGGCTTACCAGCATGTCCCCATGTACTGCAAGGTCCTGCCCTACCAGGCACAGAGAGGTTTCTCTACCACCGAGGTCCCAGTAAATAATGAAACAGCTGTCTCCAAAAGCCCAAAGGCTCTTTGGAGGGGGGACCCAGGCTTATGAAATCACAGCTCTTTTGATGAGGTTTGATAGCATAGGGTCAGGGTCTGGAGTAGGGAGGGGCAAGAGTGCCAGAGAGCCATAGTTCCCAAACTGTGTGTGCTGCATGGGGAACCAGAGATAGTTCACATTTTGGACCTATTTAATAAATGGAACTGTTAAGTTTTTTCTTGTGGTCCATGGAAACCATGAAAAAAATTTTGTTGTTCAGTCATGTCTGACTCTTCCTGACCCTGTGGCCCATATCAAGCCAATACCATCTCTGGGGTTTTCTTGGCAGAGATACTGGAGCATTTGCCACTTCTTTCTCCAGTGGATGAAGGCAAACAGGATGAAGTGACTTGCCCAGGGGCACACAGCTAGCAAGTGTCTGAGGCTGGATTTGAACTTGGGTCTTCTTGCCTTCAGGCCTGGCACTCTAGCCGCTGAGCCACCTGGCTGCCATCACCCTAGAAAGTTTGGGAACCTCTGCCATTGAGTAATGCCTCAGCATAGCTTCCATCTGTGGAACAGTCCTGGGACGCCCACCAGTTATGCAGGGGCCACAGGCAGTAGCAGTGGGCTTGGGGCCAGGACCAGATGGTCTGCCCCTTTGCAGGCTCCAAAGAAACCAGAGGCTCAGTTGCAGACGTCCTGCCTCAAATTCCTTCCCAGCTCTCCAGGGAGGCCTAGGAAAGCTGGGGCTGCAGTAGACCCGTCTTGTGAGAAATTAGCTCGCTTTACCCTTTGTAGGGTCACCGGCCCTAAGGGACAGTCCTGAGGAGAACTTGTCACCAAGGCATTTCCTTCTGAGGTGTAGTAGGGAGGAGCTGGGTGGGAACAGACTGGGCCAGGGTTGAACTCCCTGGGATGGGCGGGGAGCTGCCGCCATGTTTGCCGGGCACTTGGTCTCTGTTTAAGGCTGGCAGGGCAGTGCTCGTGTGCCACGTGTGGTGGGTCTTGGGCCTCAGGACCTGAGGTGAGTTGGTAAACTACCTGGTGAGTTCTGTCCTGCCCACTCACCTCTGGCAGCCTGAGGCCGCTGATGTCTCGCCCAGTGATGCCCACGGCAGTAGCTGTGGATCCAAGCTCATGACTGCCGTCTTCACGCTTCACAGGGCTAGGCATCGGCACCTCCTTCATCTGCATCGCCTGGGCCTTGCTGGATTATCACCGGGCCCTGAGGAGCTGCCTGCCCACCAAGCCGGCCCTGGGTTACTTCTCTTCCACTGTCTATTTCCTCTGGAACCTGCTGCTGCTGTGTCCCCGCATCGTGGCGCTGGCTCTCTTTACCACCGTCTTCCCCAGGTACATCGCCATCCACTTCCTGCTCCTCTGGGCGGTCCTGCTCCTCTGGGTGTGGCTGCAGAACACAGACTTCATGCCAGGCCTCGCGTCCGAGTGGCTGTACCGCGGCACCGTGGCTATCATTCTCTACTTCTCCTGGTTCAGTGTGTCAGAGGGGAGGACTCGAAGCCGCAGCATCATCTATTTCGGTTTCCTTGCGATGGACAGTGCCCTGTTGGGTGGCACGTGGCTAGGACACAATCTCCCTCTGCCGAGCCCCTCACTGTTGTCATGGCTGCTGCCTGGGGCCGCACTCTGCTTCCTGCTGGGCCTGGGGCTGCGGGGCGTCTACTACCAGTGGCTGCACCCCAGCCGCCAAGCAGAAGCCTTAGACGAGGGGATGGCAGCCGGGGCTTTGCTCTCCAGGACTGGCGCCTCAACAGAAGGATGGCCAAACTGGCCCAGAGCTTCTTCCCCAAAGCTGCCCCTGCCAAGAGTGAGGAAGTGAATGGTGTCCTCTGAACTGGGACCGGGACCAAGCCAAGCCAGGTGGCCTTCCTGAGCCTGGCCTCTGACTCTCAGGTTCACAGGGGTCTCTTGCTTCTACTTGGAGATGGGAGAAGTGTCAGAAACTATGGTATTAGGTACTGTGAGAAGTGGGGGAGGATGAGGTTGTGGGCCCTCACTGCTGCTGCTGCTCCCTCCCTCCCCAACACACACACGCCAACAGTGCTTTACTGGTCCGTCACTGGTCGTCCCAGCAGTGTTTGCTGGGGTAGGGGTGGGGGACAGAGATGCCAGTCTGCTTGGGCAGTGCCCATGGCTGACTGGCCCTCGAACCTGCTGGCACCAGGAAGGGCAAACTGTCAGTGCCATTCAAAGTGCCTCATGAGCCGCGTATCAGGACCATCACATTCCTCCTTCCCTGGAGGCTTTTTTTTGTTGTCAAGAAGGAAACACTTTTTCTTTGTATCATTTCTTTGTACCCTCCGGTCTCGACTGGAGGGAAAAGGTGCTGCTTAAGTCCAGGAGGGAGTTTGATTCGTTTTGCACAGTGTTATGTGGGATTTATTAAAACCTTTGAAATCGGCATGGCCTCTTTGTACTGCACCAGTCCAAGGCAATGACAAGCTGCCAACCCTGACCTTCTAGAGCTGTGGCCTAGGATAGACCCAGGCACATAGAAACACATGCAGTATGGTGTCCCTTCCACATGAAGGGCGGGCCTCAGGAAATGGCACAATCCAACTATAATGGCTTTTTTTTGGGGGGGGTGAAGGAAGAGGCTCTTGAGGGTCCAGGCTATGGCCTACCCAGGCCTATAGCCGCATTCTCTGGGCTTTGCCACTGCCTCTTCAGTGACCTCTGTCACCAACATCCATGGAAGCTGTGGCTGGTTTGGCATCCACTCCCCCCCCCCAGCAGAGGTACCTTTTGCTGCTGCCATTTAGGGGTAGCCGCAGAGGACATGGACAGCACCTCCTAGTCTGGTCCCTGGGTCCCAACACCACTACCTTGAAGAGGCTGCCCGGCTAGGAAGACCTATAGCTTTACAGACCATTGTATCATCCTCTGTCTGAGGATAGCAACTTGGCCTCTAGTCCAGAGAAAAGGCCTCAGGAACACATTGTGCCTGAACCCGTCTGTCCTGGGAAGGTAAGGCTCTGCCTGCTCCAAGGAAGTGCCTCTCACTCTACCTTCCTCCACCCCCAGAAAGGAGCTAGCAACACTAGCATGTTAGGGACAGATGCCTTTTTCCCTCAGGCCCTAGAGCCCAGGACTAATACTTTGTCAACTGGTTCAATGCTGGGAACTTAATCTAGTCCATTCCCCTTTTCCTTAAAAAACAAAAAACACCACCACCACCACCAAAAAAAGAACCACAAACAAAAACAGGAAATGGGCCAGGAGAGGGAAAAGGACATGTTCAAGGTCACACAGCCAGAGGCAGAAGAGCCAGAACAAGAAACCAAGTCTCCTGCTGGCCAGCATGGGCTGAGCCTGCTGCTCCCTGGCCTGGATGGGCTCTGCCTCTATGGCCCCTGTCCTGAGTAGAGCTGTTGGTGCCAGCTGGTCCTCAGAGGAGCCTCAATGGGTTTTAAACTCTCCTCTAATAACTCAACAAATTTCCTATTAATGTTTGTGGGCCCCACCATTAATGAATTGCTGTGTGATTCTCCAGGAGGATACCTAATCCTGTAGGTCTCATTTTTTTGTTCTGACCCTGCTGCCTTTGCTCAGGGCAGGTGGAGACATGCCACGTTCTTAGTGGCCAGTCCTCTGCTGCCTACGGACCGAGTGAGGTTGTGCTGGGGAGTTTATCTTATGATCCAAGCAGTCAGGGCAGGGCCCACTCCCCGTTCCTTGGGCAGCACCTGGGAAGGAGGCGGAGGAAAGTGACTTCTTTCCTGCCCTGGCTGAGCCCAACCGTTACACTTGAGTGTCCCTTTAGAAGAAGGGACAGAAGCCAATTGTATAGAAAATAAAAACTTTATTTTTTTCAAGTTTATAAGATAGTTCCCATTACATATAACATTATGGTCAAGGAATCTACAGCCATGAATGCCCTCGGTCACATAAATATTCCAAATCCAATGTTCATTTCTGCTTTGAGGCATCGAAAGTCCAGAGGGAAAAATCCAGTTTTGAGCAGACTCACTCAGTCCTTAAGGGGATGCTTCCTGTCAGTGCAGTAGGGACTAGCCAAGAAGTTTGTTTTCCAGTCTTCTTTCTGAGAGGGAGCAAAGGGAGGACTGGAACATTGCTACTGAGCTCACCCACAGTCAGGACATGAATTTCTTTGCTGTGGCTTGAGACCTGCTTCAGCTTCTGAATGAATAATGAAACAAGGAATGGTGAGAAAGGAAACCTGTCTCAGGGGCTTGAAGTTCTGCATGGTGAGCCTGCCCCTCCCAGAGCTGGCTGTGGCCTTCTGCCTGTCACGGCTCCTGCACAAGGGGGACGGTCACGTATGCACACAGTCTCTACCTGGCAGCTCTCCCCAGGCACTGGCAGCAGCCACACAGTCACTCTGGCTGGTGGTAGATGGGGCAGGGAAGAGCCCCATAGCCACCATATTTCCATTCAAATGCAATCTGCCACCAACCTGAGTAAATGGTACCTGGAGCAAAGATAGCCTCTACACCTATCCCTCAGCAGAGAAGGAAGGAAAAAAACGAACTCATGAAAACACCCACATTGTAGAAGCCCTAGGTGGGCTTCTGGGCTAGCCTGGGGGCCGTTTCATGGATACACAGACGGCCCTGTTAGTGCTCTGGATGTGGGGACACTAAGGCACGGTCAGTTTTACGTTAGAAAGGTAAGCCCTATGACCCTGGGGCTCTCCTGGTGGCTGCGGATCACCAGGGGGAGTTTTTGGACCCATCCTCAGGTGGAAGTGTCAATTACTTGGCTAATTCCATGAGGGACTGTCTCAAATACAAAGGGTTTCAGGCATATTCCGTTAGGCTATTTTCTTGGAAACTAAAGGATTCATAACATTCCTCAGCTCCATCCCTACTAGGCCCAGCCCAACATCGCCATCTCCATTCCAAAGATTCTTGGAGATAAGGGAAGTATGTGCTGTGTAGGCAGAACACTGCAAACTGGTAAAGTGGAGGCAGATTCCTCCTGGCCTCCCCTTTGGGGGTAGGGGGCCCAGGGGACCAGAGTAGCCTGGTTGCCCTCCAGGGTGTTTCTCCTGAGAGAACTTCCTCCCTTGACAAAGTTAAGAGTTCATCTGAGAACAACCTGTACCCAGCTATTGGCCAGGAATGGATTCAGCCCCTGTACTGAGGGGAAAAAAACAAATGAACAAAAAACCAGGGTTCTAGGCTCCCTAGGTCACAGGTGTGGAGAACTTTCTATGGGCTGACGTGAGTGGAAAGTTGGAGGGTGTATTCCTCTACAGCTCTTGCCCAGCCTATGGTACAGTATCCTCAGGGGTAGGTGTGAGAGAAGCTTGGGACCAGAGAGAAGGGAGACTCATCTCCCTGATGTTGCTCTGCAAGTCAAGAAGGTGCGTCTGAAGGACGTGCTTCTGCCAGTTCTAAGGGATGAGGAAGGAGCAGCTTCTCGGGGCGTTAGGATCCGAGGGATGGTCTCATGTCTGCTTCTTGCTCCTCCACATGGCTCGGTGGCCTCAAGCAGGGCCCAGTCCCTCCCTCTGGGTCGGCAGACTACAGCCCCCCTGAAGAGAGGCAGAGCCTCCTGACTGCCCTCGCTGTGTCTCCTCTCCAGCCAGAGGCCAAGGCTGAGGGCAGCTGAGGCTAGGGAAGTTCAGGAGGCAGAATGGGCTGCTGCCCACGAGAGATGTTCCTCTCATGGCTGCCATTTTCCAGGGTCTCCAGAATGGCACAGGGAGCCCCAAAGATACCGTTTCAAAGTGGGAGCCAATGGAAAATCAGGTCGCATCGACAGCTCCGATGGCTGCAAGTCTACCAGCCATGCCTGGGATCCACAAGCTCAGCCGCAGGAAGCAAAGACTAGCCCATGCGAGTCAGGGCCGACTGGAGAAAGCCCAAGTCCTTGCCTCAGGTTCAAGGGCCCAGCAGCATCATCTACACAGGGAAAGGAGCCTGGGCTGTGTCCCCCCCAGCTGTTCACTGTAGGTCACGCAGACAGGGTTGCCCTGGAAGTGTGGGCCTAGCCTGAGGTTGGTGGCCTGGCTACAAGGGACGAGGCTTGGGGGCCTGGGAGAAAAGGAGCGGGCATCAGGACACCACAGAGACGGGGAACGTGCAAAGAGGCACAGGGCCTTCTCTTTGGTTTCTCTGGCCTGGCTCAGCCACTGAGATGCCTGGGAGATCTGAGTGTTGGGCAAACACCCTGGGAGTGGCGGGGTAAGAATCCAGGGCTACTCTACCCGCGTTTGGCAAGGGAGGCACAGGGGACAGAGGACATTTTTTAGAACAGATGTCACAATGACAGAAGGTCACTTGTGGGGGTGCTTTTTAGTGCACAGGCCTGGGTGCCCCTGATGTATCTCCTTAAGGGCCAGCTCCTGCACTGGGCTCACAAAGCAGTGAAGCCATGACCTCAGTAGGAGGGGGCAGGCCCAAATGAGAGATGCTTCAGAACACCTTGGGGGGGATGGGGAGGGAGGTCGGGGCCACCAACCTCAAGGGTGGAGAACAGGAAGGAGCTAAGGAGAAGCTACTGGCATGGGTAATGGAGATCAGAGACCATTCATTCAGATTTTCCAAGAAAATCTACCCTTCTGCCCCCCAACTTTTGGCTTAATGAAGAAGGGACAAAGAGAAAATCTGCTTCAGAGACCAGAGCCCGAACTATAAAAAGAACACATCCATTCACCGGGAATAAATTCAATAGCTAAACAGACTATAAAGGACAGAGATGTCACAAGAGCTTACTGCTTCTAACCTAGTGACCACTAAGTTCATAGCACTGTGTTTTCCCATCACACACTACACTGGAGCACAACTCTGCCTCAGGGATTTTTTTTCTTTTTAAAAAGAAAACAAAAAGAGAAGAATGAAATCACTGTAGCTAAGGTGAGACTGCCGTCCTCTCCATCCGCCTCCTGCTTCTGCACCAGGCTCTGCCCTGGGATGGATCCCCCTCGTGGAGAAAACAAACTGTCCCTTCCTGCTCTGGGCTCGGCTGGGCTCACATCTTTCCCAAGGAGAGAGGAGCCACTGTGGGGAGGGAGAAGGGCTCCTGGGGCTGGCACCTCAGCTCCCATCCTTACAGGAAATCCAGTTCCAGAGCTTGGTGGAGTGACACAAGGTCTCCGTGGTTTGTGATCCGCCAGAAAGGCATGTTGTGCTGAAAGAGATGGGGGATGCCAGGTTAGTCACGGCCCCTCCACGAGCCGCCTGCCAGGTGCCTCGTCGCTCAGGCCACCTTCCACCGCCAGGCTTGGACCACAGGCAATGGTGCTTTTGGCCTCTCTGGCCTGGTTTTTAGCAGATCAGACCCATAACCAAGCTACCCTCATTAAGGACACAGGGCAAGTCAGACAATCTAGAAGGATGGAAGGGGGAGAAAGTTTTCTGGGCCCTTTTGTCCTCTGTAAAATGAGGAGGTTGCAAATGAGATGATCTCCAAAGTCCTTTCTGGTCCTGATTCCTGGATGTCCCTGGCAGAGGGGAGAGATTCAGGATGCAGACTGAAACAATTCTGGGGGACAGAGCCAATCCGGGGCTTTGTTTTGGTTTCCTATACAGGTTTATAAGAGAAGCTTTGTTTTTCTTTCTAATTTGGGGGGAGGGAGGAGAAAGAGGTGGATTTTCACAGATTGAAAAAAATAATTAACAATTTAGACTGAGACTGTGGGAAAGCAGTAAGGCTAAGAAATCTTTTTTGTTCTGTAACACTTTATTTTGCTATGAGATTGTCTGAAATTCACACATTGTCCTTCATTTATTTTGGAAAAGCAGGAAGGCTTTTGTGGGGCAGGGCTGGTAATATAGAGGGGGAAAGAAGAGTAGCACCACCCCATTAACGGGCTTCACACCATCCCCAGACAAGAGTTGTCCAGCATCTGCTTGGGCAGCTTCCTCACTGGTGGATAACGGTAATTGTCAGAACCAGCAGAGGCGGCCTTCTAGGCTTGTGCCACCCCGCCCCTGCCCGCAGAGGCCAAGCCCCCCAGCTTGGACCCCTGGTGAGGCTTTAGGCCTGGCTCTCCTCAGGGCCTGCATTCAGAGCTTTCGCCATCCCGATCTGCTGAGTCATCAGAGAACCTAAGAACCTTTAAATCCCCTCCCTGACAGCTTCTTGCACTCACAAGAACGTGGCTCCTTCTAGGAAACAGGGCGTTCCTGGTCATCCTTTTCTAATTCTGGGCACTCCCTCCCTCATACTCCATATCCTAATGCACACTTTATAGCTGAGGCCTGGGAAGGTTAAGGGACTTGCCCCAGATCACCTGGAATTTGAACCCACAGCACCCCCTGTATTCTCACCCCCCTCCCCAGCTTCTGTCAGAGAAGACGACCTCTGCCTTACTCACCTCAGGCCTGACTCGCATCGAGTGCAGCCTGAAAGGGATAATGTGTTAGATGCACACAAAGCACCACTGCTACTGGGATCTTTTTCTTTTTAGGGAAGCCCACATCCTGTACAGTCACAAGGCCCAAAGGGCCAGAGAAGCAGTAATGAGGACAAACAGATGGAGAAAGGGCAAGGATGGGGAAAAAGACATTCTGCCTGCCGCTGCTGCTCAGGACACTAATGATGCTCATCAGGAGGGCAGCAGACTGCACCAGGCAGGGGAAAAGGGGGAAGGGAACAGAAACCTTTATTCACTTTCCATAGTTTAATACACGTTCTCCTTCTCATGGGAAAACCATGAGGAGGAAGTAGGAGGATCCTTCTCTGGCAGAGAAGGGCAAGGAGAGGGCATGGAGGCGATGACGTGCCTTAGCCCGTGGCTGGCAGGAATGAGGGGCAGAGGTGCCCTCTCTCCTCTTGGAGCCTTACCTGTATGCCAGGGAGGTGAAGAACGGAGGAAGGGAACCAGAGAGGCCCTTCCCTCGTCCCCTCCCAGGGCCTCAGAGCAGCCTGGGAGTGAATCCCCTGTTGTTGGCAGCCAGGCCTGGGTCAGGGGGTGATGGGGGCTGCAGGGCTTTTCCAGGGCCCCAGTGGCTCACATGCCACTTTCTCACATGTGAGAATTTGTTTTCTCTCCTGACATTACCTGTTTGGCTGCAATTTCCTCATCCCGTCCATCTCCGATCACTACATATGTCACTTTCTTGCCAAATCGAGACACAATTCTCTCAAAGCAGCTCTCCTTACCTGTGGGGAAAGGATATCTTAGGGTGGGACTTCTGTTTCTAATTTCTGTGGCCAGGAGAAGGACATTCCATAACCCAGCTGAGCCAAACTTCCTCTTGGGCTTCCTATTGCCACACATCTCCCTAGAGTAAAAATCCTAGGCCCCGGAGCCAAGGCTTCTACCCTACTTATCGGGCCTCGCTCAGGTCCCAGGACTGGTGGGGTGCAGGGGTAAGGAAGGATGTTTCATCAGCTTGATGGAAAACAATTTCTAAACGTATGACCTCCTGACACAACAGATGTCCCTGTCATTCTCTTGGTGACAGCTGGCTTTGTGCCTAAGCTGATAGTTGCCTACATGTCATGCCTGAGCTCCCCAAATTAGCCCTGGGCCTGACCCCCACACCTCACCCATCTACCTTTAGGTTTTCCCATTGTCCTTTGCAGGATCCCCTTTCAGGCGGCACCTCCTTTCCACTCACGGAGGAGGGATTAGCTTCTCTGTTTAAGTCAGTACCAAGGCTACTATGCTGGGGGTAGGCAGGCAGCATGCGGGATAATGGGGTAGAAGGGAGATTTTGCCAGTCCTGCTTTGCCTCAGCCAGTGTGCCCAGGAGGAGGTGGGTCCCGTCAGCGCTGGGGCCCTGGCCCTGCCCCAAGGAAGCACACCAGCCAGCTAGGGAAGCGTCCCATTTCCCAACGGCACTGCCTCACTTTCACGTGCTGAGGTATAAGAGCAAGTACTGCATTACCAAAACTCATCCCAGGTAATGGAGGCAGTCAAGGTAGCTTTCCGGGTAGGCCGTCCGCCTTGTTTGCCCCATCTCTGGAGCCGTCCAATCTCTTTAAGGCTCAGCTCAGGCCATGCCTCAGACAGGAGGTCTCTGCTAATCTCCTCAACACAACTGACACTACCTTGAGCTTCTGTACTGAACGTGACTATCTGTATCACTCCAGTGCCTCAGCACAGTGTCACACACCTCGTAGGTACTTACTTCATAAATGCTTGCTGAACTCAATCTGAGAAACCCAGCTGTTTGTACACCCCCCCCCAACACCACTGTCTCCTGCAGTGTCCTACCCCCCCCAACTGGTCTTTGTTTTCATCCTGAAATTTAAAACATAAACACCAGATATGCTATCTGAGTTAGGCTTTATTCTCTAAACACCCAATGGAAAATAAAGGCTTTAAAGATCCTAGGGAATCATAGCTGGAAGGAACCAGAGAGAAAATCTACAGACCAAACTGCTCATTTCATAGTAGAAGCTGAGGCTGAGGGGGAAGTGACCTGGTGCAGGTCAATAGCAGAAGCAAGATTAGAACGCAGGCCGCCTGACTCTTAGTCTGATGCTTTTTCTACTCTACAAAATATAAATATAAATGAAAAAGAGAAATTTCTTCCTCCAGCGCCCCCTTCCTCAGCTGCTCTGATCATCCTTCCTTCCTATCTCCCAGGCCTTACTGCCCAATACCCACTGCACCTGACTCACCCCACCCTGGACCCAGGGCTCGAATTCATTAACTGCTCCAAGCTTTCTGGCTGCTCAACCCAATCAGCTGGCTCCTGACTTGTTACTGTCTCTAACTGTGCCCTTTACAAAGCATCAGCTACTTAATAAGTGCCTGTTGAATTTAAGTGACCTGGTCCTTTTTCTCTTCTTGGCCTGTTTCCTCATCTGGAAGGCTTCACAAAGGGGTGGGGGGTGAGGAAGAAGAGTGGTCTGTGGATGATGGTGTGAATCACTCCATTTCCACAACAGCAAAGCAGCTCTACTGGCCAGAGCCCAGGTTCTGGTGTCTAATGGATTCTCCCTTCCCCTCTCCCACATCCTCTAACCTAAATCAAGCCACTGTTCAATTCAGATCACCCAGAATGCAAGAATCACAATAAACCATAATCATAGTGCCAGAAAACCTCAGAAGGAAACAGAAAAGCTGGACAGGGCTGTCCTACTGTGCTCAATTTAACAGGTCCTTAAAAAACAAGATGAAAGGGGCGGCTAGATGGCGCAGTGGATAGAGCACTGGGCCTGGAGTCAGGAGGACCTGAGTTCAAATATGGCCTCAGACCAGACATTTGACATTTACTAGCTGTGTGACCCTAGGCAAGTCACTTAACCCTGACTGCCCCACCAAAAAAACAAAACATAACAAAAAAACAAACAAGTTGAAGTCAAAGACGTTTTCAGTTTCATATACAAGCCTCTTTAGCTCTTTAAAAAAATACTGAAGTGATTATGTTTGTTAATGTTAAAGAAAATTTTAAAATGATGCTGCAAATTAGGAATCCTAATCAGACTCTGTGCAATTCACCATTTTGAGGGCAAATACTTATCAAGTGAATATCATATCATCTCAGAAGTTTATCTAGCCCAGGCCTCCACATCCTTGACAAGTGGCTGTCTGATCACCGCCTAAATGTCTTCAATACCTTATGAGGCAGCTCAATGTCATCCTAAAGGCTAATGCTATCTGGTGTACCTGCCTTCTGGTAACCCAAAGCATCGCCATGGGACTCAATGGTCAGTCCCAATTAGCTTCGAGATTTCCAAACCTGGAGTCTAGGTCTCTTCCCTTTCTAATCTATCCTCCACACAGTATCAAAATAACCATCCTCAAATAGAAACCTGACCTGACCACAACCCTCCGAGTTCAAAGACCATTGGTGGGCTTGTCCCTGCCTCTAAAATGAAATGAATCCTCCTTAACCTTGCATGGAAGGACTGCCAGTCTGTCTGGTTCCAGCTTATTTTCACATCACTTCCTCTGAGGCCATTTGTCTTCTAGCCACACTGGGCTGACCTAAGGGAAGCTGACGAGGGAACGGATTTGAGGGTAAATATGATGAGTTCCCGATCAACACGATGACCCACCACAACTCCAAAAGACTCGTGATGAAACCTGCTATCCACCTCCACAGAGAAAATGGATGGATTCAGAGAGCAAATGGGGACACATTTGTTCCTCTTTCTTTTTCTTGCTTGGGAACATGACTAACGTGGGAATGTTTTGCATATCTCTATATATTTGTAATGGGTATTGTTTTTCTTCCTTTCTCAAGAGGTGGGGGAGGGAGAGAATTTGGAAATTAAAAAAAAATAATTAAAAAGTCTCTGTGCTTAAAAAAAAATAAGTAAATATAACGAGTTCTGTTTTTGACATGAGTTTGAGAGGCCTCTACGACATCCAGTTGGTAGTGGTAATTGGTGATGTAGGTCTGAAGCTCAGGACACAGACTAGGGCTAAATATTTTGCTGCTCAGTTGTTTTCAATCGTGTCTCACTCTTCATGACCCTATTTGGGGGTTTTCTTGGCAATACTGGAATGGTTTGCCATTTCCTTCTCTAGCTTATTTTAAAGATAAGGAAACTGAGGCAACAGAGTTAAGTGATTTACCCAGGATCACGCAGCTAAGTAAGCATGAGTCACATTTGAATTCAGAGCTTTCTGTCTCTAGGCCTGGCATCTGTGCACTACGGCGCCATCTAGCTGCCCCAAGGCTAAATGTACAGGCCTGCTACAGAACCTGTATAGAAATGATAACTAAACCCACAAGAGAAACTACATAGAAAAGGATCCAAGACAGTGTCAGGGGAATGTTTGGGGTGTGATATATTGTGGATAATGCAAGGAAGGAGGCTGAAAAGGAATGGTCAGTCAGATCAATAGGAAAGATGGTCAGCAGAGTCAAATGCTAACGAGAAAGAGGAAAGATTTAGGATGGAGCAAAGACAGGGGCTCACCAGTTGTCATTTACTTGGTATATGAGTATAGCGGAAATCACTAGTACAGAGAATTCGGAGAAACGCGGGAAGACATGTATGAACTGATGCAGGTCCAAGGAAGGAAGACAACTTAGACTGATTACGGTGCCCTAAAGGAAAACAACGTGGGCAGACCTGGGAACTCCAATTCAGTGACGATTCAGAGGCACCGACAGTGCTGACAGATTGTCTCCTTTGTCTTGGCAGTCAGTTACTGACAACAACAGTGAAACCTTAGGCAGTACTCAAAAGTCATCTGACCATGGACGCTGTCTGGTCCAACTCCCTCATTTTACAGACTAGAAAACTCGGACCAGACAGGTCAGGTGTTCTGCCCAAGGTCGCATAGGCAGGAAGTGCAACTAGGCACACCCCTACTGTACTATGTTAAGTGCTTTCTTCATATCATCTCCTTAAAGTCTTGCAATAGCCCTGCAAGAGGATCACTAATTAGGGGCAGCTAGGTGGTGCAGTGGATAGAGCACTGGCCCTGGATTCAGGAGGACCTGGGTTCAAATCCGGCCTCAGACACATAACACTGTGTGACCCTGGGCAAGTCACTTAACCCCATTGCCTGACCCCCCCCAAAAAAAGAGAGGGACACTAATTGCATCAGTAAACTCACTGAACAGATGTGGAAACTGAGGCAAAGAAAAATGAAGTGATTTGTCCCTGGTTACACAGCTACTAAGTGCCAGATATGGGATTCAAAGCCAGACTCTCCTGGCTCAGAGTTCAGGGTCTTCTAGTACACACAGTGCTGCTCTCGTTACATACACAGGCACGCAGGTTTCCTAAAAACGCCACTAAAAGCAGTGCATGCTGTAAACTGAGATTCCAAAGGAGGCACAAAGCCAAGCCCTCAGCTGCTGCTGGAAAGTGCTTTCTTTCAAACGCTAGGTTACTAAGCCCATGGGGAGCGGGGACAAGCTGGGGAATGCCTTTCCCAATGTCTGGGCCGGAGGAGCACAACAGAAGCACGCAGTACCTATTTTAGTAGCACTGTAGATGTTCTCGATGGGGAACACTTCTCCCAGGCCATACAGGAGGACCTTGGCCAGAGCAGGTACCAGCTGTGTGGTGGTGATCAAGACATTCACACAATTCTTTCTGGAGAAAGGTAGAGAAAATTCAAGTCAAAACCTTAATGCATGGCTTCATCAAGGTCATGGCAACAGCTGGTGACATAAGGAAAACCAGGCTGTAATTCAAGTCTAACAGGCTAAAAAACTCCTAGAGCTGGAGAACGTCAGCCCATCTCGCCCCTCAAGCATGAATCCCCTCTACAACGCCATCAAGATAATACCAACATACATTTCCATATTGCTTTGAAGTTTATAAAGTGCTTTCCTCATGAAACCATGAGGTAGGTAAGCCATTTTACAGATGAGAGAAGTCTCGGAGAAAGTAACTGACTTACCCAGGGTTACGCAGTGAATGGTGAAGCTAGGATTTCAAGCCAGAAGCACTGACATCGAGCCTGTCACTCTACCACAGCACATAAGACATCCCTGATGCATAGTCCCTCAGCCTCTACTTAAGCATGGAGCACCGTGACAGGGAGCTCACTATCTGCTGCACTGAGGCTGCTCATCCCAAGTACAGAGACCTGTTCCTTAATACTGATCCCAAGCCTGACTCTTTTTAACTTCAGCTCTCTCTCCTGGGCCAAAGAAAAACAAGTCTAATCCCTCTTCTCTGAAGCTCTTCATTCTCTCCCCCTGAATCTTCTCTTCTCCAGAAGGAACATCTTCAGGTCTTCCAACTGACCCTTGTATGGTACACTTCTCTTCAGTCCCTCCCTCTCCTGGCCTCCTCGACACACCTGAGCTTAGACATGTCCCTCCCCAGATGTGCTGGGCACATTTTAGATCTAACCGGACACTATGCTGCAGATGTGGCCTGAGCAGTGCAGAGGACCGTGGTCTCCATCCTTCTCAAGGACTGTTAATGCAGCAGCTGGCTCAGGTAGGGCTGAGTGCCCACTAACATTTTTTCTTTTTACCACGTGAACTCCTGGAGTGATGACGCTCCCTTCTGAACTTGGAGAGTCAAGGCAGCATGTAGATTGGAAAGAGCACTCTAGGTAAGGGTCAGGATCACTAAGGTTTGGCTCCAGAACTTACTTTTGTGTGAGCCTTAGCAGCCTCTTCTGAAAAGTGAGGATAAAAGTATCTTCATTACCCACCTTGCAGAGCTGTTCTGAGGAAACATATCTATGACTAGGAGCAATTATCACCATTGCTACTGAAAGACTGTTCTAACTGTTTGATGTGGAGGGAAGCTTGGCTGCCCAATTAAGATTACAAAACACATGAAGGCAGGGAGTCTACAGGGCATGCACACACCACCGTATCCTCCGTGGTGCTACAGCTGGGCATCAAACACGATTAATACTTGGTAAATTTAAAACACAGAGTGACCCATTATGAAAGTTCCTTTGACAGGAGAGGAGTGTGGGGGAGGCGCTCCAACTGGGATCACACTTGATCTGATTGCAAGGCTGGGGTTGCTGGGCCTGTGCCTTGAGTGAACGTTCTGGGACAGAGATCAGAGGTGGCAGAACGAGGCCAGGGCATGAGTGTGGATTCTCGTGTGTCTATGAAGTTGGTGACAATCCCCCTATATTTAATAAATCACCAAAGCACTAGCTTGGGTATGGATGGACACAGTGTTGTCACATGTTGTGACTCAGGATTAACGAGTTTCCTTCCATATACCAGCTTCTAAGATACGTCAGAATAAGAAATGACAGCCCCCTGTCCCACCCCAACCCCAGCTTTGCGTCTTCAAACCCAATGCCTCCTCCCAGGTGAGCCCACGTCAGGGTCCACATCCTCTAGGAAGCTGTCCCCCACACCTCCAGTGCTCGCAGACCTCTCTCTTCTTTCCCCTCTCCCGCCCACCTGAGCAAGGGTGGAAGAGCTCTGCTTTGAGACCATTAGCCTGTAAAGATCAATTCCGTACCTGGACTGGATGAGAAGTAAAGACTTTAGTGCCGTTCCCAGCCAGGAATCAGTTAAGACTTCAATTTCTGCTCTTAGTCTCTGAAGTGCTTCCTTTCTCTGGGGACTGAGAAGACCTTTGGAGACACAACCAGACAAAGCTAACTCCTGACATCATGTCTTGGTATAAGGGGAAAGGACTCCCTCCAAACTAGGGTGGTCCTGGGGAATGCCCCTGTCTCTCTTCTTGGATGCTGCCCAGGGGAGGGGAAGCCGAGCACCCAAGTGAAACCAAACACAACCATCGACATCAGGGCACTTCAACTCAGGTACTCAGTCTAAGCATTCAACTCAACCCAAGTTAACGCAGTTCTTTTGATCAGGCTTGCCTATTTCCAGAAGGACACAGGTGGTTACAGACAGACACAGCATATGAAGAAATACATTTAAGCATTAAACAGACCATCTGAGGAGATGTTTTTAGGCACTATTGCAGAACAGACAGGAAGGAACACTTGGGAAATACAGTGACCTCTCAGGTTTGCAGTAGCTCAAGAAAAGAGGGAAATAGGTTAGATGTAGGGGGACAGGGATGGGGTGTTCTTTATGAGGAAGCACTGAAGTTTATCTACAAAGTTCATTTTTCTTTGTGCTAAATTCAGAAGGGAATTCTTGAAATGGGTTCCTGTATGAACGGCGATACCCAGCAGAGATCAAAGGGGGTAGGAGGGGACAAAAACCTAGCTCTAGTCCCAGCTCCGCCATTAACTCACATGACCCTGGGCCTCAGCTTCCTGGTCTGTGAAACACTGTGTTTTCATAATGTGTCTATGTTCTGAGGGCTTTTCACTTCAGATGGTTGTGGTTCTGTTGGCTGTAACACTATGAATATACTATTTTTCAGAGTCTGAATAATCTCCAGCAGTGAAGCCCCTCTTTCTCACACTCAAGCCCCATTTGATCTTCCACTTCCTGAAATCTTTCAATATTTTTTCAGTCTCCCCAACCTTGCCCTGGCACCCAGTCCTCCTGAGCTGTCCTTGGCTTTTCTGATGGGGCAGGAAATGTGGGTGTGGAGGGTTTGCATTTTCAAAGGGCTAAATGAGAAAAGAGTGGTTACAACCTCAGCAGAATTAATAGTACAATTTCAGATTCTTTGGTACCTATGTGCAAGATTGTTATGGACAAAAGGGCTTTTCCCAGGCTCTCTGAATCATAATATGTAGGTATCATCACTAAAGTCATTAGGGTGGACCTTGTTTTTTACTCACTATGCACTCATGCTACTGCTGACCTCTCTGTGTGTGAGGTTTTCTTCTTTGTTGGCTTTATTGAAACACTGCCCTCACGGGGTGCACTCCTCTTATCTACTAGACCATTATCTTTCTTATTCTCTTTTGTTAGACCAATATTTCACCCATTATCTATGGGTGTGCTCCAAGTACTAAACTCACTCTTTGTGATCTCATCAGCTCTCAAGAATTCAATCATAACTTCCATATCAATGACTACCAAATCTATACATCTACTCATCATCTCTCCCATGAATTTCATTCTTGCATTATTAACTGCCTGCTAGGTGTTTTTTCCCAGACAACCAACCAGCTGACAACTCAAAATAAAGCCCAAAACAAAAATGATGATGTCCCCTATCTAAATCTGCCCATCCTTGGTAATTTTCTATTTTTGCTGAGAGGATCCACCATTTTGCCAGTCACCAGGTTCATAAACTTGGAGTTAACCTCAATTCTTTCCTTTCCCTCACCTTCTTTCCACCAATACAGCCACCATTCTTCTTTGCCTCCTTGTTGGTTTCCCTGCTCCCAACCTTCACAGGCCACAGGTCAGACCATATCAGTTCCTTGCTCAATAATATTCAGTGGTTCTTCACTGCCTCAAGGATAAAATACAGGCTCCTCAGCCAGGCTCCACCTTCCCTTTCAGGTTTATTATTTCCATGCTTAGACCAAACTGGATTACCACCTATTTCTTGGCTCATATGCTATCTAGCAACTCTGTGCATTTGCAAGGGCAGTTTCCTATGCCTGGAATGAGTTCCCTCCTTAGCAGCCCCTCTTAGACTCCAGGTCTATCTATAAAGGTCCGCTCAGGCTCTAGTCCCTCCAAAAAGCCTTCTCTCTGATCCCTCCTAGTCCTTATCTCCCTCCTTAAAGCACTTTGCATTTACTTAGCTTATTCTTTGTGTCCCTTTGGCTGAATATATGCCCACCAGCTCCTCTGCTTTGGACTTCTCCATCATGCCTTGATGCTGCTAACTCCACCCCCCCCCTTCCCCTTTATAGCCTCCTTTGGTGTCTTATCTTTCCCCACTAAATTGTAAGCTTCTTGAGGGCAGAGATGTTTTTTTTTTTAAACTTGTATTTGTATCTCCAGTGCTTGGCATAGTGCCTGGCACATAGCAAGAGCTTAATAAATACTTATTAACTAAGTAGAACTGTTTCATTTTTGTCTTTAAATGTACAATGCCTAGACCAGTGTCTGCAAGTGTCAGGCAACTGGTAAACATTTGTTGAACTGAATGAACTTTCATGGTCTCTACTTCCTAACATAAATTGACTAATGCAAGAGGTAGTGTACTTATTACAGGGGATATGGGGTGGCTACAGAACTGCAAGCCTCCTCAATAAGCCAGAGGACTCCAGAGGCTCTGTTACAGCTCCACGGAAAGGGTGTCTGTCTGAGGAGGCAGAATGTACCTTCTAAAGCTGAGTGGAAAAAGGAAGCGGGAATTTTAGAGGGCAGAGATGACTGACATTTCTAGTGGTTCCCTATGGCCTCCAGGACCAAAGTCCCCCAGGCTCTGTTCCAAGCCCCTGTCCACCCTGCATGTCCTCTAGGACCCCAGGACACCAGCCTCCTCACTCTCCCTCTCCTGACTCGGGGCGTTTTCTATGGCTGTTTCCCCATACCCTGGAGCATACTCCCTCCTCCCCACCTCTACCTCCCTGCTTCCTTCAAGTCTCAGCTAAAATCCCACCTCGTACAAGAAGCCTTGCCTCCTCCACGTTAGTCTTGGCGCCTTCTCCCATATCCATCTTCTTTGTGTAAAGTTCGCATGTTGCTCCCTCGTAAGACTGTGGCTCCTTGAGGGCAGGCACTGTCTTTTTCCTTTCACTGTATCCCCAGCACTTATTATTAGTACAGTGCCTGGCACACAGTAGGTGCTTAACGCTTACTGACTGATTTAAAATACAGGTAAAATGCTACGTCCTCCAAGATGCCATCCCTAAATTCTCTTCTCTCTCCTCAAGATCTTCATCTGACTTCCCAGCATGACATATTTCTCATATGAAATTATACTCTAATTTTTATTATATTTATCTGGATGCATATCTTATCACACCTACCAGGCCGGACAGGGTGAGATCTCATTTATCCTCGTATCGTCCTCAGCATAATGCTTGCTGAATGAGTGAATCCAACTGGACACTCGTTTTACAAAGGACTGAGCTGATGTCTTAAGGAGGGAAGTAATTTGCCCAAGGTCACACAGTGAATCAGAAGCAGAGGACTGGCACTGGCACAACAGGCTGTACTACTACTGACATGAAGCCTCTTTTTCAAAGGCCAGTTGTGGAACCTGCAGATTTATGCCCGTGAAGTGAAAAGGTTACTGAAATATATGCAGAAAACATCTAGACAGTCTCAGTTGCAGGGGGGCACACTCAGAAAATGAAAACCCAGGAACCAAGGGACCAGAAGCCTCTATAATCCTACTGCAAAAATCACCAATATTTCATTTCCAAGATTCCGATAATATTTTGAACAAGATAGCTACAAATGTCATTCACAAAAGCTATAATAGCCATAAGAATTCAAAAGAACTTTTAAAGCATTTGTGATGGCAATAAATTCTGGCCATACTAAGAGTTCAAAACGAAAAATGTCAACTAAGAGGAATGCTTTCCAGAGGATCTATTCATATCACAGATACACAGTTAAGTAGCTTCTTAAAAAAAGGAAAAACAGTTTCTTTTGCAAACAAGGAAATGCCATTTAGTAGTCAGGCTTTTTAGATGACAAAAGAGGAAAAACGGACAGGCAAAATAGGAAGTCAGGCTAGCCTGCACACTCACCGCCCACGTTGCTTTTGTGTTTGTCATAGATTTCTCTCACTTTGCGATAGCGGAAAGCCAGCTTCCTCATCCAGTCTACTCCCCCCTGCACACCCACAGTGGAGCCATGACTCGCGCTGCCTCCTGCGCCGCTGAAGCCATCCGTTGAGAAACTGTAGTTGCTGTACCGCAGAAGACATGGGAGATTAAACTCCTTCCCAACTGGACACCGGGTGATTCTACTCCCTGGGGTCTCTAGCCTTTCTTGGCATTGTACTACTAGGTTTAAAGGTTCAATGAATTTTTTACCATGGTCTAAAGGAACAAACCAGAGTCTGCTCTTTATAATAGGCCAATGACCTTGACTCTGATTCCTGGAAAATTCTACAATGTCTTATTAAAGGGAGGCAGGGATCACCAAGAGCCAGCAGAGTTTCATCAGGACAGGTTATGCCAAACTAACTGTGCTTCTTTTTGTTGGGTTATTGGATTCGATGATGTTACGTGTAGAAAAGGGACACAGAGAAACTGAAGGGGCTTACAGATGCATTACTTAAACAACCATAAAAGGAATTTGTAGTCCTATAAAAAGTAAATAAATGAGATTTGGGAAAGGAAATCTAAAGCCAGAAAAAAGTTCGCCTAGAGGAGGGAATGTTAAAGAGGAAACTATTTCTTCTATGAAGTACTCTAAAAAACTACCACCTGACTATTTATCCAACAGCAACCAGAACCAAGCAGAAGGAAAGAGGCAGAGAACTTTTTGCCAACAAAGGCTGATAAACAGCAGAACAAAGTACCACAAGAAGGGTGCTGTTTCTTTCTAGAGACCTTTGCAAGGCAGGTAAAAAAGCCATGCTGAAGGACATCAGTGTGGCCCAGAACCTGAGTCACAGTCTGTGGGATAAGGCAGTAACGTAAGTGTGGCCCAGGCTAGCTGAGGTGGTGCTTCCCCACCCGGGCCTCCGTAATTTCACCTTCACTGTAGCTCTACTCTTGTCTTTTTCTTCCCAAGGCTCCTGACATCACCAAAATACTTGCAGTCCTCACCAAAGTTAGCAGGAACTGGGAACTATGCTGGCTGTGTTCAGATAAGATTATCTAGTGTGAAAATACACTTTCTTCTGACTGAGATTTTTAATATTTGTAACCAAAGAGAAGAATTAGAACTGTAGTTTCTTTATTACCTTAAGTCCTGCCCATTGTCATCAGAAGCCACATCTTCCACATGCACTTGGTCACATTCCTGTTAATAAAACAAACCACATGGTATCTTAGCCCAGTGGGGCAACACTCCTATCAGCTGAAACAGAGTTACTGGGAAAGGTACAGAAACAGGTGAGCCAGAGTGAGCTGTGGCAGTCCATGTGGCAGGGTGAGAGGCACTGCCCAGCCCTCCTACCTCTTGCCTCTGCCCTTAAGGCCTGCTGCCCCCAGCTCTCTTTCAGAGCCTCCCTTGACCTTGTAAAGCGCCACTTACTTGGAACTCCCCTAGGCACTGACATACGTCCACATGCCTTCCGAGACACCAAACAGATGGACCGCCACACCTGCCAATATTCCTGTGCCTGGCATAGGACAGAGTGCCCCTCAAGTCACAATCCCTTCCTTTCTTAGAGTTCTCCTAGCACTCTCTACTTCTCCCATGGCCTGAACATGCTGTGTTCTGCACCAGAGTTAAGTACATGCCTCATCCCACTAGACAACTGTAAGGAACTGGAGGGCAGACTCTATACCCTTACTTTATATTTCGTATAGCACCTGGCACAGAACTTTGCACATTAACAGGCTGTTCATAAATGTCTGTTGAACCTAACTGCTGAATGGAACAGATCTTTATTTATGATAATTATGATGAAGGTGGATGATTTAGCTAGACTGTCTTAGAAGTGCTAGAAAAGTCCCCTCTCAAAGTCCAACCCTTGTATCTGACTTGAAGAAACTCAAGCTTAGGGGCAGCTAGGTGGCACAGTGGATAGAGTACCAGCCCTGAAGTCAGGAGGACCTGAGTTCAAATCTGGCCAAACACTTGACACTAGCTGTGTGACCCTGGGCAAGTCACTTAATCCCAATTGCCTAAAAAAAGAAAGAAAGAAACTCAAGCTTGGAGAAACTGAGCAAGGTTCTCAGGCTCTCATGGCTGGCAAATGGAAAGGCTGGACAAAGACTCTTGTCTGGCCATGGGCCAGCATTCCTTCCCATCAGCACGTCACATTCAGCATCCACTGGCAGCTGCTGTTCTCATCCAGACGATGTCTATCCATTGGTATGACCTATCCTCGGGAGGATTTAAAAATGCTTAGGTGATGGTTAATATTCCCAACATACCTCCAAGTCATTGAAAAAGAGATGTGTGTCAGCCACCTCAAAGATCATCTCTTCCATAGTTAAACCTGAGCCAATCACAACTGTTGGGTCCTACAAGACAAGAAGATGGAAATCTGCGTAACCTGGCACCATGGGAAAGAACTCTGGAGTTATAACAGCAAATGGAAGAAATGCTGCAATCACAGATCACTGCAGCTTCCTTGATGAATTACAGAAAGTATATTACATTATAGGAACAAGCTAGGGACTTTAAGAAACAAGTGAAAGTCTGGTTTAAGCAAGAATTCTGGGAATATATTAATTTGTATGAAAACGAAAATCACCTTTTACTGAGCAAGCAACACATCAGGAAATAAACCTGAAGGCTGACATTAAAAGTTGGATGGCAACTCACATGTATCTAATACCTTGATGGATTACTTCATTTGGTTTTTATACTAGGTTAAATCTAGATGAGGAAAACAAAGTAAACCCTTAGGCAACTCAGACAGCAGGGTAGCACACCAAAGAAGATGTCTTTTGGTGAGCATACAGAATACCAGAGATGAGCTGAGACATACCTTAGATTGTAGAATATTAGAACAAAGAATGTCAGCACATCTGGGGAAAGGCTGCTGCCCACCCCAACTCCCAACTCACTCCTGGATTATACTACACAAAGACATCCCTTTGGGAAGATGCTCCTTCCCCAGGAGCCCAGGGAGACCAAACCTCAAAAGAGAGAACAGAAACTTTCAACAAGGGCAGAGCATAAAAAGAGCAGGAGGGCCACTGGGCTAGACAATGCCTATTAGCCCACTTCACATAAAAGGGCCCAGGGAGGCAAGATTCCATTGCACAGACACAGCAGCTGCTGAACAATGCACTCTGCCAAGTCCTCTGGCTCTCTCCAAGATCGGGTTTGGCCCTGTACAGCAGTTCAGTGCAAGTCAGTGATTCCTGTAGCATGTGAATGAATGAATGAATGAATGCCCATCCTGTACTCAAAGGTAATGACAACATCTGGTTCAAATAGCATGTCAGGATCCAAAATACTTTCTTAATAATCATTCTGCGGTCTAAATTTTTAAGTGCCACTATTATCCCCATTTTATAGATGATGAATCTGAGGCTCAAAGTGGAGACAGGTCCTTACTGACCATTGTTACACACTGACTGGCACAGACAAGACAAGGAAACCTGTTGTTAACAGGTTCCTGCCAGTTAATAAATCTTTAGAGAACTGGAACTCTTCACCCTTTTCTGGTCTTGGTCATCATTTGGAGGCATTGCTGACTCAGGAACAGTGGACAGTTCTGGCCCGGTAGTACATTTTTGGAGGGAGTGGAACCTAAGGACTTGCAGGCTTTGCTAGTGGAGTACAAGCTCTGGCAGCTGCAAAGTGTTCAGGTCTGGGCTGAGCAATGGACCACTTCTCTCTTACCAAGAGGCTCCGCCTTGCTGAGTCTGGTCAGCCACCAAGTGATGGAAGTTTTGGCCATATCAACTCATAACAACTAAGGAGTGAAGAGGACACAATCTGTGGCAGTGGAAGAATAGTTATAGGGATGAAATCACAGATCTTCTGAAATGTTAAAATGGTAACGTCAGCACGCTATTTAAAGAAGTAGGTACATAATAACTCTTAAAAAGTAACAGGAAACAGTGGGTGAAGGAGAGAGAGTGAAGAGGAAATACTCCACAGTTCTTAGCTTAAAGCAATGAAAATGGCAAAAAAAAAAAATCTAAGCTATGGACCAGCCCTTGCTTAGCTGAATTTCTTCTTTTCTGGGAGGGAACAGTGCTAATAAAGAATGGATTACCCTTACCTTTCCATACTTCTGGGCATAGGATCCTGTGAGAAGAGAATGGAAGATGATGATGGTTTCATCCAAGTCCCAGAGAAACACCCGCTGGGCAAAGAAATCAGGAAAGACAAGAGCAGACACGTGAGGTTACGATTTTGGTACATCTAAGATTGTAGACCAAGGAGGGCCCCTTGAGAATCATCTACTGAAAATACTCTCATCTGACAGACAATGGAAACTGAGGCCCCAGAGAGCTGAAATAACTTGTGCAACATCACACAGCTACTTTGTGACAATCAGGACTCCTGATGAGAGGCAACATGGTGCAGGGGAGAGAATTCAGGACTTGCAGTCAAGAAGGCTGTCTATGTGACCCTAGGCAAGTCACTGAACCTCTCAGGGCTTCAGTTTTCTCGGCTCTGACTCTAGGATGTCATGGTCCTGTGAGCCCTTGGCTAGCAGCCTTTGTACTCCATCACCTGGCACCCTCCCTGAAGCATCATAAGCGCTTCTCTTATAGTTGGAACCAAATTCTGCAGGAACAAAGCCAGGAGAGGAGAGCCTCTACATCTGCTGTTTCAGAGCTTAACACCCTTGCTGTATTTCTAAAAAATTCTAGAACATTTATCGCCACGGAATAGGCAAATGAAAACCATATTAATAAATAGTCAGTAGCCCCAAAGATACTGGCTGAAAACAACCTGATCCACTCATTCTGGCTAACACACCTCACAGGAGAGGGTGTGGATAAGCACCAGAAGCAGCCTCTGATCCCCTCTGGTTTTGTAATCCAGTGATCACTCCACAGACCACTCCCACAACTGGGCAGTTTATGTCAATTATTGACTCTGGGTTCATCTGTTAGATGGTCAAAGATAAAAATGCAACAAGCTCTCTTTGGAAAATCCACTTTGGATTCAGGTAAGACTTTGCTTTCTCTCTAAGAAGGCACACGGCCATCTCCGAAACTCAACTGAAATGCCACCTCCTGCACAAAGCCTTCTCTAATGCTCTTCTTCTCTAGCCAGTACCTTCCTTCCTAGCAGAATTCACATGGCACTTGGATTTGCATCTCTCATATATCCTTATGTATTAATTTGTTTTCTCTTATTTATTATAAGCTCTACCAGTGCTACTTAAGCTTCCTAATTTCCTACCCAGCATTTAACACTGAACTGTGACTTGGACTAGAGGTATTGCCAGTCTCCAGGCTCTGCTGTGTCTGATTAAGTACTCAAATACATGCAGCAGAGTCACTCACACACACTCTCTCTCTCTCTCTCCCTCTCTCTCTCTCTCTCTCTCTCTCTCTCTCTCTCTCTCTCTCTCTCTCTCTCTCTCTCTCTCTCTCTCTCTCTCTCTCTCTTTCTGCTCACTGTCCAGGTGATGACAGTGAGCAGTGAAGAACACTCCAGAGGAGACACACAGCAGGAGGTTTACACACTTCCAGCTCACTGTCCGGGGCAGGTGTGGCATCAGCTCTCCTCTTGCCCCGGTTCTTGGCAGGCGTATTTTTCCTAGATTGCTCTTCGGGGTCCTTACTTGGCGTACCGCGGGACAGAGATGGGCTCGAAGAAGGGTCTCCTACAACAGAAACAGAGACATGCAGCAACCTGAACTCAAAGATGTCAGCAACAGAGTTGGAAGAGTCTGTCCCTACGAGGCCAAGAAAGGCACCAGGAAAGGTAACTTTAAGATGGGCATGACACCTCACTATCTTCAGAGAAATGGAAATTAAAACAAGCTAGGGCTGTCACCGCATGACTATCACACTAGCAAAAGTGACTCGAAGTGACCCAAATCAGTGCGGGGGGGGAATGTTGAGAAAAAGGAGCACTTCCACATGTCAAGCAGAGCTGCAAGCTGGCAGAATCCTCTGGAAGACCATCTAGCAGTTCAAAGTAAGAAACCAAATTCCACCCCAAACCTTAGGACCCAACACTCCCTGGAGTATTGGAGCACACACTCACAGCGTCATCCGCTGCAGGAGTGAATAACATTTAGCAAGTACTAAGTGCTGGGGGACATACAGATACAAAAGCAAGACAGGCCTCTCCCTCAAGGAGCTTACCATCTAAGGGGAAAAATCTTACGGTCAAGTCAAAAATATAACCAGAAGCACTGGATGCAATTGCAGAAAACTGGCCACAACCTATATGTCCAACAGATGGCAAATGACCAAATAAATTATTGTATGTTAATGAAAGGAAAATAAGAGGATATGAGGGATTTAAAGACTTGTCTGAAGCAATGTGAAGGCAAGGAAACAACCAGAACAGGAGATACACTAAGAGTATGAAAAAAATCTCTATCTCCATCTATACAACAAAGACAGCGATGAGGGAACAGAAGAAATAAAAGTATATCAAAAGAATCCCTGAGAAGCTGTTAAGAACTTATTGTATGGCAAACATTATTTTATGTATAAATAGCTATAAATGCATGTTTATTTGGTCACTGTTTCCTTCAACTGCATAAACATATAGTTCCCCCCCGCCACCATTTTATCTAAATTTTTTTTCTTCTTCCACTTAACAGAATTTTATTTTTTCCAATTACACGTAAAGATAGTTTTCAGCATTCACTTTTATAAGATTTTAAACTCCAAATTTTTTTCTCCCTCCCTCCCTTTCTTCCTCAAGAAGGCAAGCAATCTGATATAGGCTATACATATACAGTCAGACATATAGTTTTAATAATATATCCATTAAAAGAGACAGAAATCTGATGCCACCATATGCATTATTCTGTGATAAATAGACTTTAGCAAAATGATTAGGATTTGATTATTAGATGTGATCACCATTTTGCACATCACACCCGTCTTGCTCAAATTCCTCCGGTCATGCCTTCTGCCTACAGAAGAGAGTCCTAAATCCTGTGTTTGGCATCCAAGATCCTTGACAATCTGGCTCCCATCTACACCCCCCTACTCTCCATTACAAACCTTTCACTGCTCCCAAATGGGCCTATTCACAGACCTCTGGCTATGTCCTGGTATCATTTCTGCCTCACCCCAATGCTCCACCCGCTCCCGCTCCTGAAAGTCTGCTTCTCTAAGTCCCACCCTTTCCTTAGGGGAGCACAGAGCACTCTCTCTTCTCCGGTTTCCAGCAGCACTTGTTATCTGTGCTGCTCCCTGGGTGCCTGGCACCACCTCACAAGGTTCTTCATACCATGTTCTGGGCAGCCTGTGTCCCTGTTTCATACCTCTGGTACCCTTGCCACTCAGCCCAGTTTATGTGGTTTGACATGTTGACAATATGAGAATACTAACTGGTTAGTTTCGGAGGCAGCATGGTACTGTGGAGATGGTTCCAACCCTGTCTTCGTCACTTACTACGTGGGTGTCTTTGAGCCTCAGTTTCTGAATCTACAAAACTAGGGAGTTGGCCAAGATATCTAAGGTCCCTTCTAGTACTACAGCTATGGTCTTTAGGTCAGAAAAATAAAATTAAAAATTTTGCATAGCAGATATTCTTATCTTTTATTAGGGCCCCTGAACTTGGAAGTGATACTGGAAATCAGATGATGTCCCTGAGGCATCACTCTCACACATGTGACTCACACTCTGTGTGAAACAGAACCACTAATCAAGGTAACTGTTTCCAAGTTATATGAGGCATAGGTAACCTGAATACTCATTTTCTTGAGAGGGTAGGAACAAATGCACATCTGAGTGCACATAAAAATGCAAAGCAGCTGATGTTTAAAATCCTCAGTGACTCAAAGAACTTCCTAAGTTATAAGTACTTGGCACATAGCAGGGACTTGAGAGACTGACTCCTAAGCCAGTGCATATTCTGAACAAGAGGTCCCTCCACCACACACCCACCCTCTGCATGGCACCTGCCTATGGTGAAGGGTTTCCCAGGCCACCCAGTACACTCTGATTCTGACATCCAGCCTCCTGGCCTCCCTGCAGCTCCCTGCATTGCTCCTGGGTCTGCCCCTGGGGCCCAACAAACAAGGCCCTTTGAAGGGCACTTGAAAACAACTGGGATGTCCTCCCTAAGCCATCTTCTCCAGAAAACTGGCTTCCGTCAGCTCCACCTCATGTAGCTCTAATGATAACATTTCTATCCCAAAGGTACTGGTTAGAAGTGCCCAGACATTCCGTAGAAGCACAGGGCTCAGCAGATGCCCAAGGAGTCCTCACATAGACACAGGCTCATGTGATCTTTACCACACACAGCAAGATCCTGAAGCTCCCTCCAGGGGGTCTAGTAACACCACAATGAACATGGCAAGAGAGCAGGGAGGCCAAGAGTACTTATCTGCAAAGGATCCAAAAGAGTTGGGGCTTACATTCATCTGGTCCTCTTGGATCACTGACGCACAAAGGAGAAAGATGACACTCCAATGTACCTCATCCAAGGAAGAAAGTCAACCCATGACATTGACTTAGCGCTGGATAAATAAAAGGTCCCCACAATTATTAGGCAATACCTGTTAAAAGGAGTGACCTCAAGTGACATGTTCAGAATGACAAGGCTTACTCACCAGAGGAAAGTCTCTGTACTGCTGGGGCAGGCACCATGACAGTGGGCTTCTCAGTCTGGTATGTGGCTGCTGCTAATGTGGTATTCTCAGCGTCACTGTTGCTTTGGCCTGTGACCCCAAAGCTGGAGCTGGGGTAGCATGCCTGGTACTGACTCTGGCCAAGGATGGTATATGTAGGATAGTCCTGGAGACCAGAAAAGGGAATTAGGAAGGGACAGACAACACTCACTTCAGGATCTCCATTTTAAAACGATATCCTTCAGAGGAACTGTGTGTGTAAGTAGTATGTGAAATATAGCTTTAATAACGCCAGTTACTGTGGGAAAACTCAACCTAGATGTTTTCTACGATTCCACAGACACTTCTGTCAGTGTCAAATAAGTAGTTATGTGGCTAACAGACAAGACAGCAAACATTTATTCAACTATTAACAACAAAGCACTGGGCAAGAGAAGTGGGGCAGGGGTACAGTCACATATAAGACATAAGCGCCCCCTTATCCCCTCCAGGCTGGATCACACAGAGAAGAAAGTGAGTAAGACATGGCAATACATAAACAGTAAGGGCCATGAGAATGTGTGTAGAAGGGAAAATATCATGGTAGGTTGGAATGATCTAGGAAGGCTTCAGAGAGGAGACAACCTTGAACTGGGCCCTGAGAGATAAGGAGGGGTGGGATGTATAGAGAGGAAGACATGGGGCAGGACCACCAGCAAATTGCACAGACCCAGAAACTGAAGAGAAATGCTCACTTGACTCACTTCTGCAAAGTGAGAAGATAAGGCCAGGGCCCAGAAAGGGCTGGGAAAGTTGGCTGGGGGCTGGTCTGTGGGAGGCCTTTAATGCTTGAGGGGTCTGGGCCTGATCCTGCAGGCATTAAGGCAGAGGTACAGTGAGAGCAGTGCTCTCAGAAGATTCATCTACTGGTATGTGTAGGAATGATCAGGAGAGGGAGAGAGAATAGATGAGGAAACTGAGGCCCAGCGGGATTCAGTGACTTGTTTAAGGTCCCAGAACTGGCACAAACCTGAGGGGGACATCTGCACCAATGTCCTAAATCCTGGCCCAGAAATCCCCCCGTTATGTACGACATGCTGCAGGTACTCAATTCAATCAGGGTCAGGTAGAGGCATCAGATGTGGAAGAGGACATGAAGAGCACAAAGCACTGCTGAGCGACCACTGAGAAGACATGTGGACAAATAGGTCCAGGCACAGCTCTGAGAGGAGTCGAGGATAACTCGTTTGGGACTCGGGCAAGTCAGAGAATAATGGGGCAAGAGAGAGACACAGAGGCTGGTTTAATAAACCCTGAATCCGAAGTGCTGGCAGGTCATTACAGTGAAAGCAACGCTGGTCCCCTGGCTGTTCCTTCACTTTGGGCAGGCGTTTTCACTGGTTGGAATGCGTTTTCCTCCTCAACTCTGACTGCCGACTTTCTTTACATCTCAGCTGAAATGCTACCTTCTACAGGAAGCCCTTCCTGATCCCCTTCATGCCAGTGCCTTCCCTCTGTTCGTTATCTCCAACTGTTCCTTCAGGGAGCGTGCCTGTTCACAGCTGTTTGCAGGTGGCATCCCCCATTAGATTGAGCTCTGGGGAGCAGGGGTTGTCTGTGATCTTTCTCTGCTTCCTCAGTCGCTAGCACACAGAAGGAGCTCAATAAATGTTTACTGACTGACCAGTAAAAATGTGGGACTAGAGGCTGAGAGAGAGGTAAAGGCTAGAGATATGGGGGAAGGAAGGATGGTGTCTTCTATACAGAAGAGAGTTGCAGTTGCAAAGGTAGATAAAATCTTTCCTGATCTCCTTCTTCCACTGCTAGGGCCTGCTTTATTTTGCACCCATCCTACATGTAATTATATATGTACATGTTCTCTTCCTTGATAGAATACAAGCTCCCTGAGAGCACCATTTCATATTTGTCTTTGAATCCCAAAGGCCTGGCATCTACAAGAACAGGAGTGCAGAGGTCTAAGAACTGAAGCTCTAAGATTAAGATTCTAAGAAGGGGACGAGGAACCAGTAATGGGGAAAAAGTACATTCAAAAAGGTAGGAAAAGAACAAGGGTGGAATGGGGTCACATACATCGAGAGAGGCATTTCAAGCCAGACTGGGTGGCAGTGGGTGGACAGGGCCAATAGCATCAAATATTGCAGAGAAGGCAAGAAGAGTGAGGACTGAGATCACTGTTAACTTCTGAGAGAATAATCTCAGTAGATTGGTGAGGATTAAGGCAGATTTGGGCAGCAACAATGGTAACTACAAAGCAACATGATAAGTCTGGCTGTAAAGGAAGGAGAGACAAAGGAGACAGCTCCGTGAGGGTGGATGAGCAAGGAGGGGACAGCAGGGCCTTGGAGCTGTTGACAATCAGGGACACTCTCCATAGCTACACAACTACATGTATTTGGGTGGGAGGAAGCGGGGAGGGTGTCTCCAAGATTTGGGGCTGGGAGTGGGAATAAGTATAAATCCGAAGGCAGAAAGGAAAGAATGAATGGAGAAGAAAGGTACCCTGGATTAGTGAATAGGAATGGAGATAACCAATTACCTGGTTTGAGATGCTGGCAACTGCTGATGCTGGAATATTGGCAATTGTGGATGAAGAGGAGATCAGGCTGGCATTGGTACTTGAAGCTGCAAGATTCAGAGTGTCAAAAGATATTAGCATGTGATTATGCAGCTTTGAAAGGCCAGAAGAGGCTGCAAATGCATTAAGTGTGTAGGGCAACAGGGAGCAGGCTACACACTTTGGCAAAAGAAGGCTGCGGGAGGTTCAAAACTATCAGGATCAAAGGCAGGTAAGCTTTGTTTCTGTACTCCGCTCCCCAAACCAGACCAGACATCTGATTATAAACAGAAGACCCCTAACCTGTCCCTGGCTCAGGAAGCCCACTACTTAAAACTCAAATTCCATGGCAGCACACACGATGTACATTCATGGAAACAATGGCACAAGTTAAACACACATGTAACCCAATCACTCCAGCCCATCGTCTCTGGCTGTGGGAGGATGATTACCTGTAATACGACCTGCGGAGGGAAGCCAAAAGAAACTCAGAAAAATCTCTGTGATAAATCCATGTGTAAGGGCTGTTTGGTTCCCGGTCCGCAAATCCCAGTGAAATAATCACTATAGACAGGCCACTGTCCTTCTAAGACACAATATCTTCCTTGTATGTAATAGGCCCTTAATAAATCTTGGTTGGAATAACTTAAAATAACAGCTTAACCCTGATTATTGGAATCTATTCAGTTTAACAGACAATAAAAGAACGAATAAATGAATGAAAAACCATTTAATCAGTGCTTACTACAGGCTGGGCAAAGTGATAAGTGAGGAATATAATACAGATAACAACAGGACAAATACAGTACGAAAACCAGTCAGTCCCTGCCCACAAAGAGCTTACATTCCAACAGAAGAAAACACAAATGGGGGAGTTGTGATGGAGGAGGGGTGTTTTGGTCTCTTTAGTCACAGCACTAGTGAGTGGAGTCACTGGACAATGGACTGACCCAGGAATAGTACTGCTAATTTGTTTACTGTTTCTAGCCTAGGACAGGAGAGGGGAAGCACGGAGGCAAGACGGCTAGAGTGCAATGGGGCAGGTCTGAGGTAGGCTAAAAATGTTGTATTCTCACCAAGCACGTCTCCGGAGAGAGAGCTCGAAAGAGGGCAACACCTACCCTGACCTGGTATGAAGGAACTTGCCAATAAACCCAGAGAAATGCAAAAAGGATGACTTTTCTGGTCCCAAGAAGGATGGTCTACAAGTTGCTCAGGCATGCTGATATATGCCAGGAAATTCTCTTCACTGTCCACATTATTGCATGAATCAAAACCCCACAAAATCTTTTGGCTTGGGAATTAACTAAAGGGTCCCCAGAGATCTCAGCACAGCTCCACAGGTAAATGTCAAGAAAAGGTGAGCCGAGGTTTAGAGTTCACCTTCACCATGCTTCCCAGGTTATGACTCCAGGACCTTAGAGAGGCTAGCTTCTACCTATTCTACCTCTTTTTCATAAAAGCATCACAGTGGGTCCCAGCTCAGACTTGTCACACACACCAAAAAGCTTCACCATCAAGAGAATTAAAGTAGTTGAGGCCCACTTTTTGATAAGTCATGGAACAGCGCAGAAGTTATCAATCCTAAAGAAAAATTTCAAAAAACAACAGGGCAGATGAAGATGTAACAAAAACCTCAATCATTCAAAAGGAAGAATGATAAAACGACCAATTCTGTCCCCAAGGTGTCCTACAAAGAAGGCATGTTTAAGTGAACTGAATGAGAACAAGACTATACACTTAGACATGTTAGTAAAATTAGATAGTAACACCCACAGTATACTAAGAAATGACTTGCTAAAAGTCACATGATGAAGTCACTTTCATCATGAGCTTCTCACAGTGCCGAGAACTGAGGGGTCTAGACCTGATCGTCATCAGTTTCTGGAGTCCTTCTGCTGACATTTTTTGTTTAGTTGTTTTCTCACTTGTATCTGACTATGTGATGCTTTTGGGGGTTTTCTTCAAAAAGACACTGGAATGGTTTTGCCATTTCCTTCTCTAGCTCATTTTACAGATGAGGAAACTGAGGTAAACAGGTTTAAGTGACTTGCCCAGGGTCACATAGCTAGTGTCTGAGGGCAGATTTGAACTCAGGGAGATCAGTCTTCCTGACTCCAAGCCTGGCACATTAGCCCTTATAAGACCTTTACTGACATAAAAAACCTCAATCACCTAAATAACCTATATGGAGGACAAAGAAGTAGCCCAGGAGCTTAGAGACCATCCAGTCCAACACTCTCATCTTACTTTATTTTCTAAAACCTTTAGGAAGGAGGAACCTTCAGAGGCAGTGCCATTCTATGTGTTTTTTTGTTGCTGTTTGGTCAATTCCAACTCTTTGTAACCCCACTTGGGGTTTTCTTGGCAAAGACACTGGAGTGGTTTACCATTTCCTTCTCCAGTTCATTTTACAGATGAAGAAACTGAGGCAAAAAGGGTTACATGACCTTCCCAGGGTCTCACACCTAGTGTCTGAGGCTAGATTTGAACTCAGGTCCTCTATAGGTAACTTTAAATGCTAGGAAATCTTTCCTTACATTAAAATCTGATCTGCCTCTCTATAACTTTTACCTTTTGCTCTCAGATCTCCTCTCAGGGTCAAGTAAAACAAGTTTAATCTTCCCTCCCCCTTCCCCCCACCTCAAGTCCTCTCTTCTACAGACTACACTTTCCCAGTTCTTCCAACCCCTCCTCACAAGATATGGTCTCCTGATTTGGGAAGCCTGCCTAATAACCGCCTCTATTTCTTCCTCATATCCAGGCTATCTGCAGCACAGTGCCATGACAAAGAGCTTGTTTCTCCCTGCAGTGACCTTCACCCAAATGCTCTCCGTTGTGCTTCCCTGCTTTGGTTACTGGCACCCACTGTAGGCCATAGTTCTGTACGGGCACACTATATGGCTGTGGGTCCAATCATGCACCTCTTAGGTTAGTATGGCTTTTCTTTTCCTTATAAATGGAAACAAACAATCTAATGCCTTCCTTCAAAGCGGCTTCACGTCTCACTGTGCCTTCACTACAGCATCTCAGCCAAGATGGTCCCCACTGAGGGCCTGATCAGAGCTTTGCTGCTTGCTGCATGAGAACGGGGAAGCAAGAACACAAAGTGGAATCCAGCAAGGAAGGGCCACTCGCCTGGCCTGCCTACCCTCGTCCGCTCCGTGGTTCACAGGCCAGTGATCTCAACCTGGGGAATGAAGAGGAAAACTCCAGCAAAACTCCAGGTATCTTGACAGGCACCCATGTTTTTTATTTCTGTTCCACAGTTAGCTGATAAGCTAAGTGGCCAGGTATTCAGCTACTATCAACTCAATGAGACTGCCTTGTAGGTCACAAAGAGTTTCTGGGGCCAGTCAGGTGGCGCAGTGGATAGAGCTCTGGCCTTGAAGTTAGGAGGACCCGAGTTCCAATCCAGTCTCAGACACTTGACACTTACTAGCTGTGTGACCCTGGGCAAGCCACTTAACCCCAGCTGCCTCACCAGAAAGGAAAAAAAGAGTTTCTGGCTACAACACATCGGTGAAGACTTCTGCCTTACAAAATGCAGGGGCCTGCTAGAAAGTGAGTGATACTGAATGACTCTTACATGCACAGAATCACGGAACTTTGGAATTGAAAGGTGCAAACAGCATTGTGGAAGGGGCACTAATGCTGGGGGTCAGAGGATATGGATTTGAATCTAAATTCTGTTACTTAGTGGACTCTGGGCAAGTCACTTCATCTCATCTGTAAAAAGAGGGGTTTCAATGAGATAAGGCATAAAGTTCCTCCCAGCTCTGGGCCAATGATCCTTGGATCTCATGAGTTACGGAAAGGAACATAGAGGCTTATTTTTAAGTTTCTAGATTAGGAAACTGAGGCGCACAGAGAGGAAGTGAAATTGCCTGAGCCTCATGGCAGAGCTGGGATATGAGCAATGTCAGCAATGAAAAAAATACATGTAAAAATTTAACCTCAATAACTACATCCCATACTCTCAACATCACCACTAAGCAGCCACGTCCTCCCAAAATGCTCTGTCAGCCACCCTGAAAATTAAAGAGGTGGGGCGTCAGGAAAGGGAGTGCTTTTAAATGGCGAGTCACAGCCATAACAGAACCCTCTCCAGTGCTGGCTACATGGAGACGAGGGAAACTTTGCAGAAGTGAGGGACACCTTATTTCTCCAAGTGGGAGGCCCCACGGTAACAGGCAACAATTCCCAAGTAGCTGATTTCACTGGACAGAGCCAACAGCCTAGGTTTAATCAACAACCACATCCCATAAAATCCTGAGTCTCATCCCAGTGAAAGAGGTGATTCCTCAGTGAAAAAAGAAATCCTCGGTATGCTCGGTCACACTACACAACAGAAAGGACAGCTGAATCACTCATTCCCTACAAACAGCTTGGTCAGGGGACTCCCTTGGTTATAAGAACATACAACAAAATACTAGAGGGAAAAGCTGAGTGGAATGTTCAGAGCATCCCTAAGGGCAGGGAAAGTTACTATACCCTAAGGGTTAACTTCAGTAGCAAGAAGCAACAGTCCTCAATGTATTGGGTTCAGATAGTCAATTCCCTCCGGCAAAGCACGAATGCAAAGACTCAAAGGGGGCCCAATCAATCAATAACCATTTATTAATCCCCTACTCTGTGTCAGACACTGTCTGTCCTAGGGTGCTGGAGATTCAGTGACAAAAAGGAAAAGGTCCTTTTCTTCAAGAAGATTATTATCCCACTAGGGGAGACAACTAGTACATGCAAAATAAGTACAAGGCATTTTTGGAGGGAAGGTCTGGGTAGCTGGAGAGAGGAATGAGATCAGGAAAGGTCTCATGTGGCTGAAAGTGGGTGACTGAGCTGAGTTTTGAAGGAAACCAGAGATGTCAAGAGGTGACGGTGAGGAGAGAGGGCATTCCAAGCCTTGGGAACAGACAGCCTGTACAAAGGTGACTTAGACAGAAGACAGAGCATTGTATGTAAAGGGCAGCAAGCAGACCAGGGTATAAGATGAGGAAAAATGTATAACACAATCGGATTGGAAAAAGAGGGTGGGACTAGACTAGGGTGGGCTTTAAAAGGCAAACAGAGGAGTAGAAGACCAAGCAGCAGTAATTAGCTACTGGAGAACAAGGGGGAGAGAGGGGGAGAGAGAGAGAGAGAGAGAGAGAGAGAGAGAGAGAGAGAGAAAGAGAGAGAGAGAGAGAGAGTGTGTGTGTGTGTGTGTGTGTGTGTGTGTCTGCGCGCGCAATGAATCACTTCAGCAGCTGTGCAGAGGATGAATCAGAGCACCAGCCTGATGTAACTGATAAGTTCTGCTGCACAGGACTAATTTAATTCCTGCTAATTTGTGGCAAACTAGAGAAGTTAGAAATGAAGTATATTTTGTGCAAAACTGGAATAGGCCAAATTAATATTGTTCTGTTCAATCTCTCAACTTAAAATCTCCCAATCGTAAAGAAAACAATGTGGTTCATCACTAACATGTGCCTCTCCTTACTTCAGCAATGTGTTATTTCTTTGGGAGGGGGTACTTCCTCCCCCAATGGAGATCACTACCCATCTAACCACTTGGGTTGACTGTCAGAGATGTGGCCAAAACCCACAATTAATCACCCTGTAGCCAATATGACGATGAACTACTTATAACTAGTTAAATTAATCCTTAAATGACAAATGGTCTTTGTCAGATCCCATGGTCTGCTATTAATTTTACAATCTTCTTTTTATTTCCTTTGTCTTCTGCCCTAATAAATCTGATGGAGTTTTTTAATCCTTTCTTTTCATTTTTTTTCCTTTAAGATACTATGGAAGTAAACCAGGGTAGTGAAGAAATGAAGCATAAACTGGATAAAATTTCTTAGGCATCAGAACAAAAAGTTTCATTGTACTGGGGCTCAACATATTTGTTTTAGATCTAGGAGCCAGCTCTCTAATTTAAGAGCTAGATGAATTTTTCAGGTTGCAAAATAAAAATAAACATAAGTGGGTGAGAAAAGAAGGCCTAGTAGGTTCTTAACTCACTGTTCAGCATCAAATCAGCATCCTCAAAATACTATTAAATAGAGGACCTTGGGAAAGATCCTCTCCTCGAAGGGGCTCTCAATTAGCCTTCTCTAATTTCCTGGCCACTCTTCCTTCTCCCCTCAAGCCAAGGGAGCCAAGTCAAAGCCTGAGATGACCTGTGCTCCTCCCACAGGGCCAAGGCCAAGCATTGCGGTGGACTTCCTTTAGTCCTGATGATGATAAAACATGAACATGGAGGAGCAACCTGGAGGCAATGGGGAGCCACTGCAGAAGGAGGAAAGTGACCTGTTGAGAATCTGTTGGTAAACCTGTCCTGAAACCACTCTGATGACATTCGCAGGCAAATCCTGGTGCCTGGAACTCACCTAGTCTTCATCTAATACAACTCCTTCACTTTACACATGATGCCACCGAGGTCAAGGGAGGTTAAGGATGTTTGTCAGAAGCCCAAAGCTAGTGAATGGCTGAGCTGGGACCTAATCTAACATGTTCTCCTGCTAAACCAGGCTGCCACTGTCCTCTCACTGGAATGTGGTCACAAAGCAATGAGTGTGACGGATTATGGTGGTAGTGATTATAAATAGTATGCCAGAACCAGCTCACCCTGGCTGGCAAGAGCCTCTGTTAAATTTTCAATTAGAGCATTTACATTTCAGAAATTGGCAAATGCTACAAATCAGGGAATGTTAATAATGCAGATTGAACTTAAAGTCTGTTGTGCATACAACATCCTCCCCCACACCCTAGGGAGACAGTTGTTAAAATATATACCAGCCCAATCCTGGTTATAAATAACAAAACATTCCACACCTCCTGTCTCCCCAGGGAAACCTTTCACACCAACAACCTCACCAAGTTCCAGATCACAAAGTCTACTCTCCAGACCAGTTTGCAGCATTGCTAAGATCCTGTTTTTCGCCTTTCTACACAATGACATGCACACAAGCATGCTTTTAGCTCTACCGTGGCAGCTCACAAGCCCAAAAGCAGGATGCATGGTACAACTGACATTCCAAGAGCTAAGCTACAGTGCTATTTGGATAGGCAGGGACTGGTGTCTGCCTTGGCTCACCAAACACAGACAGCATGCACAAATTCACATCGCACCCTTTCTGCTTAGGGATGCAGCGCTTCCCCAACCATCTGGAGAAATACGTAGACGTAAAAAACAAAACAAAACAAAAACAACAAAACCATGCCTCTTTACCTTGAATGGGATAAGAGTAATGTGCTGGGCTTGGCTGGCCTGTGGTTAGCCCTGTAGTGCAGGTAAGAACACTGTGTTGACTTGGAGCTGGAGTCTGAATTAAACCACTTTCAGGTTTCATACCTGGCCACAATGCACCTGGATCAGATAAATTGGACCAATTACAAATGAGATACCAGGACCAAAGGCAGGTTTGTTGCCTGAAAACGTCAGCCAGTTGATCTATGTCATAGAAGAGAATTAAAGCTGCTTGTTAAGAGAAAATTGTTGATCCTCCTAAAGTTAATTATATTCAACTAACAAACACAGGTACATAGTATCAGCATGCGGCAAGAAAAAACACAGACAAGCCATTATCTTGCTGAAGCCAACAGCCTTAAAGCCACATAGGCTCATTTCACCTCTCTGGGGAAATTCACCAGTGTTCAAAGGGGAAGTGAAGGCCAAGATGGCGCCTAGCTCCACGGTCCAGAGAGGCTGTTAGGCCCCAATTATTTTGGACTTCATCGTGCAGAATGTTTCAATCTCAGTTACCAAGGATACCTCAGTTATTGGTCACTGCCCAAGGGGATCCACATACGTGTCAAGTTTCTATTAAAATCACTTACTCCTTTGGGCAAATTTTAAAACCTTTTACCCTCTTGGGGGTGGAGATCATTCTAAAATATATCATATACATCCCCGGGCCTTCTGAAGAAGTACCTTGAATAGAATTAAGTCCCTTCCAGCATACCCAGCACAAACAATGACTGCTCTGTAATAAAGTGATAGTCTCAGGGGTTGCTGCATATGTGGAACTGCCTGTCCTTCCACTCCACAGCTCCAGAGTCTTGTACGTTTTACATCTGTGTGTCTGCTCCTTTCATCTCTTTACTTGTAACAACTGTTACTTAACATGGCCAGCAGCCCCACTCCCCAGCATAATCCTCTGAAGCCTCAATAAGGCATGGAGGTAACCCTGGAGTCTCAAAGACTGGGTCAGTGGAGCACAAGCTCCTACCAAGCTGGAAAGGCTTTCAGTACAGGTGTAGCATTGACTGTATCTTTGTGGCCTCAGGAATGGCTCAACCCAGGGAGTTCCCAAAGGGTCCTCACCCCAAAGCTGGTCATCACTTATGGTGACAGAAACCCATGGAAGATCACCTCCCAAGGCCTGGAGGCACTATGCTTTGGGTCAAACTGGGGAATGCTAACAGATAAAACCATAGATCACCTGAAATACTGAAGACCACTGAATCAGTGGTCTAGGAAACCAGATCAAGAACTGTTTCTTTCAAAAGGGGTAAAAGAGCTGTTAGGGGTTATCACTTGCTCTCAACTAGCTGACGGGCATGGACTTTGCAACTATTCTTTCTAGTGCTCATAGGTCTGGATGCTTCTTCCCTAAAATAAAATTTTTTGGATGGTTGGGTTTGCCTGAAAAGTCATTAGTATTCCAAGATGTAGTTCAGAGCAGGTTTGTGAATAAGAAACGTGAAATTAGTGTCAAGGCCACACTAGCGAGGCAGCAAGATGGCACAGTGGATAGAGCACTGGGACTCTCAGACACTTACTAGCTGTATCTTACTAGCTGGGCAAGTCACTGCTTCAGTTTACCCAAGTGTAAAATGGCAGTAATAACAGCACTCATCTTGAGGGGCTGTTATGAGAATCAAAGGAGATACTTGTAAAGTACTTAAAACAGTGCCTGGCATATAGTAAGCACTAGATAAATGCTTGTTCTCTTCCCTTAAACTTCAGTATTAATTTAGTCTGCATACCCCTAAACCAAAGAGGATTTACTAACAATGGAATAAACTTAATTCTCTGAGTCAGAAGGTTTTACTTAACCTTGGTACTCATTCAGTTGGCCAGATATCTCACTGCTACTTTGGAAAGCTTGTTGTCAGATTTCTTTAATACAACTTTGAGAAGTAAATGAAGAAACAGGAATTTCAATGAGGAAAACAATGAAGGCTCAGTAACTGCTGTGTCCAAGTCATGAAGACACCAGCAAGTAATGTCAAATTCTATTCTTCTCTGATGATTCTCTGAGTTGATTTATTTGGGAAGGCTAAGGAAAAGCACCCCAAGGTAGATTAGAAAAGCTTCCCTATGACAAGACAAATCAATGCCTTTTCTGAATTATTTCTGTGATACTCCAAATAGTCTCTCTGGCCCCACTGTACCCTTTGGTTATTATGACATTCCATTATTTTTTTTATTATTCATATTTTATTTTATTTTTAAAAATTTATTTATTTTTAGTTTTCAACATTCACTTCCACAAGACTTTGAGTTCCAAATTTTTACCCCAACTCTCCCCTCCCCCCACCTCAAGATGGCATGCATTCTAAATATCCCTTCCTTTTATCTCTCCCCCTCTTCTCTTATCCCTTTCCCCTTCTATTTTCCTGTAGGGCAGGATAGATTTCTGTACCCCATTTCCTGTGTTTCTTGTTTCCCGGTTGCATGTGAAAACATTTTTTTTAAACATGTGTTTTCAAAACTTTGGGTTCCCAATTTTCTCCCGTCCTCCCTCCCCACCCACCCTCTTTGAAAAGGCAAGCAACTCAATTAGGTTATACACGTGCAGTTATGCAAAGCACTTCCATGGTAGCCATGTAGTGAAAAACTGACTCTATTTTCCTTAATCCTATCCTGCCACCCCTCCCCCATTCATTCTATTCTTTCTTTTGACCCTGTCCCTCCTTAGAAGTGTTTGCTTCTGATTACCCCCTTTCCTAATCTGCCCTCCACTCTATCATTCCCCTGCTCTCTTGTCCCCTTCTCCCCTGATTTTCCTGTAGGGTAAGACAGATTTCCATACCAAATTGAGTGTGTATGTTATTTCCTCCTTAAGCCAAATGCTATGAGAATAAGATTTACTCATTCCCTCTCACCTTCCCTTGTTTCCCCTCCACTGTAAGAGCCTTTTCTTTTCTGCTTTTTTGAGATAATTTACCCCGTTCTACCTCTCCCTTTCTCCTTCTCCCAGTATAAACCTCTCACCCCCCCTTAATTTTATTCTCCAGATATGACCCCTTCATCTCCAACTCATCCTGTACCATCCATCTATCTATCTATCTATCTATCTATCTATCTATCTATCTCTACATCCACATATAATTTTTCCCACCAACTACCCTAATACTGACAAAGTTATAAATGTCATTTTTCCATGCAGGAATATAAACAGTTCAACCTTAATAAGTCTCTTATGATTTCTCTTTCCTGTTTACCTCTTCATGTTCCACTTGAGTCTTGTATTTGAAAGTCAAATTTTCTATTCAGCTCTGGTCTTTTCATCAAGAATGCTTGAAAGTCCTCTATTTCACTGAATGACCATTTTTTCCCCTGAAGGATTATACTCAGTTTTGCTGGGTAGGTGATTCTTGGTTGTAATCCTATCTCCTTTGCCCTCCAGAATATTATATTCCATGCCCTGCGGTCCCTTAATGTAGAAGCTGCTAAATCTTGTGTTATCCTGATTGTGTTTCCATAATACTTGAATTGTTTCTTTCTGGCTGCTTATAATATTTTCTCCTTGACCTGGGAACTCTGGAATTTGGCTATAATATTCCTAGGAGTTTTCCTTTGGGGATCTCTTTCAGGAGATCTGTGGATTCTTTCAATTTCTATTTTGCCCTCTGGTTCTAAAATATCAGGGCAGTTTTTCTTGATAATTTCTTGAAAGATGATGTCTAGCTCTTTTTTGATCATGGCTTTCAGATAGTCCAATAATTTTTAAATTCTCTCTCCTGGATCTATTTTCCAGGTCTGTTGTTTTTCCAATGAGATATTTCACATTGTTTTCTAATTTTTCATTCTTTTGGATTTGTTTTACAGTGTCTTGATTTCTCATAAAGTCACTAGCTTCCAATTGCTCTAATCTAATTTTTAAGGAAGTATTTTCTTCAGTAATCTTTTGGACTTCCTTTTCCATTTGGCCAATTTTACTTTTTAGGGCATTCTTCTCCTCATTGGCTTTTTGGACCTCTTTTGCCATTTGGGTTAGGCTATTTTTTAAGGTGTTATTTTCTTCAGTATTTTTTTGGGTCTCCTTTAGCAAGCTGTTGACTTGTTTTTCATGATTTTCTTGCATCACTCTCATTTCTCTTTCCAGTTTTTCCTCTACTTCTCTTACTTGCTTCTCAAACTCCTTTTTGAGCTCTTCCAAGGCCTGGGACTGATTCATATTTTTCTTGGAGGCTTTGGATGTAGGAGCTTTGACTTTGTTGTCTTCTTCTGGTTGTATGTATTGATCTTCTTTGTTACCAAAAAAAGATTCTATGGTCTGACACTTCTTGCAAGGTTTGCTCATGATCCCAGCCAATTACTTGACTTATAAACTCTTTGTTAAGGTAGAAGTCTGCTTCCAATGTGGAGAATGTACTGTCCCAAGCTTCGGGGGTTTGTACAGGTGTTTTTAGAGATACTTCTAGGGACCTGTAAATTTTCAGTTCTTCCAACGTGGTATGATTAAGGGGTGAGGTGTTTACTCCTTTCCGAGCCTGTGCTCTGGTCTATAAGTGACCACAGACTCTCTTTTCTGTCTTGGAACTGTGAGGAGGATTTCCTCTCCACAGCCACTACAAGCTTCACCACGCCAGGGCTCCTCCTCGCCCCAGGACCACCACCCAGAACTGGGACCCAGATCCAAGCACGGGCAAAGCAAGAGATTTCTGCCCTAGCACTGGCAAAGAGATCCCTGCAATCCCTCTCTGATGAGCCATTTGATTCCCCCTTAGTCTGTGGGCCGAGTGCACAGGAGGCAGCAGCCACCCCGGGGCCACTGGGGAACTGGGGCTGAGACCTAGCTCCTCTCTCACTGCTGAAACAGACTTTCCCCACTGACCTTCTAAGTTGTCTTTGGCATTTGTGGGTTGAGAAGTCTGGAAACTGCCACAGCTGCCCGCTGAGGCCTGCTCCAGGTTTGCTGCAACCTGCCCGTGCTGAACTGCGCTCCTCTACCGGCCTTGCATGATATACCTTTCTGATTAACCATCTAGGTTGTATTGGGTTGGATATTTGTTTCACTCTGTCTTTTTGTGGGTTCTATTGCTTTAGAATTTGTTTAGAGACATTTTTTAAAATAGGTATTTAGAGGGCTTGGGGGAGAGATCAAGCAAGTCACTGCCTTCACTCTGCCATCTTGGCTGTGCCCCCCCCCTTTTTTTTTTGGGTGAGGCAACTGGGGTTAAGTGACTTGCCCCCAAATCACACAACTAGTAAATGTTATGTGTTTGAGGTCACATTTGAACTCAGGCCCTCCTGACTTCAAAGCCAGTGCTCTATCCACTGTGCCACCTAGTTGCCCATTACTTCTTATACTTGTCATCTTGCTTTCTTTTAATAAGGCTCAACTCAGCAATATTTGTATGAAATATTCATATAAAGATCAGAGAATGTTAGAACTTTAAAATCATCTAGAAAAATATCCTCATTTTACAGATAAGGAAACCAAAGCTAGGGGTGGGACAGAGTGACTTACATAGTAAAGAGTCCAGAATTGAAACCAGGTCCTTTTTTTTTTTTTGGTTAGGCAATGGGATTAAGTGACTTGCCCAAGGTCACACAGCTATTAAGTATTATGTGTCTGAGGCTGGATCTGAACTCATGTCCTCCTGAATCCAGGGCTGGTACTCTATCCATTGCGCCACCTAGCTGCCTCAGAAAAGCTGCTTTTTTTTTTTTTTATTTTTTAGGCAATTGGGGTTAAGAGACTCGCCCAGGGTCACACAGCTAGTAAGTGTCAAGTATTTGGTCTGAGGCTGGATTTGAACTTGGGTCCTCCTGACTTCAGGGCCAGTGCTCTATCCACTGTGCCATCTAGCTGTCCCAACCCAGGTCCTTCTAATTCATGGTCCTATGCACCATGCACTAACACTATGCTGTCCCCAGCCACTTTCTTCTGTCTAAAACTTTATTTTGTACATTCCTTACTAACACGCTAAAAAACTGGGAAATAACCCAGGCAGCCTCAAACCAATGTCTGCAAGCTCCTTGAAAAACCAAAGCTTGTTATAGGTAGCCACTGGGTTCCTACAGCAGTGGTCCTTCCCAACCATCATCTCCCCTCAACTCCCCAACCACGAAAACACATAAAATGTAATTAATATCACTGAAATAGATCCTTAGTGAAGATTAGTTAATAGCTGAAGAGTACTTCAATGCTAAAAAATATGGGGCAAGTGATTTCACTTTGTCTCTGTTGAGTCAGCAGATCCTGGAGTGAGCTATTATTTGATTAACAACTAAAATACTTTAAGAAAAAGTAAAATGGTAGTAGGCAACTAGTAAAGTCATGAAAAAATATCAAGCCCCCTTTCTTCACACATCCCTCACATGAAACTGAAAAGCACTGTCCCTTATCTTCTGCTCCCACATATCAGAAGAGATGACATCTTCTCATCTCCTTCAAAAGAGATCATCTAATTACCACTTCTACCTATGAGAGAAGCTTCTCCATTTTAGACCCACCACTGAAAACAGATGACTACTCTTCGTAGTGGTCAATAAATAGGGGCATTTCCAATACCTCTGACCACTATCCATGTTTCAGAGAGAGTATTTTTTACAGTCCTGTGAATGTCTAGCAAAGAGACACTGAATTGAGACCAATTTGAAAATGAATAAAAAAAAAAGTTAGGTGTTGCTGAGAAGTGTACACATTTTTAAGAATATGCAAAGCACTATTCAGGGGGTATGATTAAAATTATACAAATATCCCCATACAAATTCTCCTATAAGTACTACTACAAAAAGTCCCATGATAATAAGAAAACCAGCGGAGACAGAGTACATTTACATAGTAATTAAGCCGTGGTTTACACTTGTGAAGACCGCTGTGATTTACAAAAGTCTTTCCTCGCAACAGCTCTATCTGATAGGTAAAAGTTTTATTATCATCCATTTAGAGATGAGAAAAGGGAGGCTCAGCAAGATTAGGCCACTTGCTCATCCATGGTCACACAACCTGGAAATCACAGAATCTCAGGAAGCAAGCTAAGAAACCACAGAATCGAAGCAGGACTTGAACAAGAATCGGCTCTACAACATACCTGAAAATGTCCTGCAAGGGGACCCCACTGCCTCCAGAGGCAGCCCCTTCCACCGTGGGGCAGCTGTAACTGTCAGGGAGTTTTCCTTTCCAAGAAACCTAAGGTTCCTATCTTATCACCTGCCCCATTGCTGAGTCTGTAGACAAACTTGTCTCTGCCACAGAACAGTGCACAAGTCACTTGACAGTGGCCATCACGTCCCTTCTAAGTCTTCTCTCATACAGCATGGTCCCAGTCCCCAAACATTATGTTCCCATCAAGAATCTACCCCAAACCTAAACTCAGTCAGTCACACATTACTTAAAGTCAGACCAAATGAATAATGATGGGGTGATGTTAGACTGTCCCTAGGCTAATTTTAGGGGATATGTTATGACATATCAGTCTTCCTAACCTCCCCTTCCCCTCACTCAATCTGATCAAAATTAAGGAATTCTGACGGTTTCCTTGACAATACACACAGAGGTCGTCTCTACTTTTTAATTTTCATAACTATAAAGAATATATATATTTTTTAAGAATATTTTTAAGAGATGCCATCAATGTTGTTTTAATGCTTTCTTAAATGCTCAACACAAACACAGGCTTCTAGCAAAATACATTAAAAATGATACTCAGAGCTCTACTTCACAAAATTTCCCTCTAATTTTAAAAATAAAGCAAAATTAATAAATCTCTATTAATGTTAATATATTCATATTCATGTGTCTATATGGTACCATATTGAGAGTGAAGAGTAACAGCTGGACAGCCTGAGCGCTCCCCTGGTAATCCACGGAATGTTGGAAGGTCTCCCTGTGCACTGGGAGAGGTTCTATGGAGGGTTAATGGGAGAACATGGACTAGAAACACACAAGATGAGACGGTCTGGATGGGCTGGGACTTATATAGTTGGATAATTAGGTGGTTAAGCACATGACAAAACATCTGATTCAGGAAATAGGCTGACGACTTGATAGGCATGGATAATAGACAGTGTAATCAGGGAATGAGAGGGATTAAAAAAAAGAAAAACTCTAGGAAACAATGCCACAATCATTAAGTATATCTCTTACTTTGTTGCTCCTTCAGTGGGCCACAATGAAGGTGTAGCACTGAGTCTGAGGGTGATAAAAACTGCTTTCTACTACTGGCACACAAAGGCCACTGGGCCCTTAAAAAAAACAACTCTGAAAAGTGGAAGCCAAAGGCAGTCACCATTACTGCAGATTCTTGATGTCTGGTGAATACCAGGTAGTCAGCAAAACACAGCTTATCATACTGATTGTGGGCAGGTGGATATCTTATTTGTTTAGCACACTCCAAAAACCTCATTTTGAAAAAAAGAATCTAGATATAAACTGAGTTGCTATTAACCTTTGGTAAAAGATGGTTTCATTGTTTAAATACAGAATAAAGCCATACAAACGTTACTGGTATTATTACTGTTACCAGAAGTTTTGGGTTTTACTCCCAATAAGAATACCTTTTGACTTAAGCAGAACAAACATTTGATAAGAGTCAGAAGCAAAGCAGGAAATTAATGTCAAATATAGTACAATATTCACAGAGGGGGCAAGGACTTCAACCTAGTTCCAACAGTGAAGAGTTGATTACTTACTTCCTTACAGAGTATTTATTAAGTCCCCATTGTGGGGGGTGTTGTATTCTGTACAAAATAAATTCAGAAGACACAGTCTAATCCCTCAGGGATCTTACCTAATATTAAGGGGTTCTAGCCTTCCTATCTTCCACAGATCTAAAAAATCGTAAGTTTGGGCTGATGACTTAGACGTGAACTTTACAAGGCTCTCAAAAAGGATTTTTGAGGTACAGTTTTAAGTCTCATGCATCACACACACTGCTGACCACTGGGCATCCAGCATGCATGCAGAGAAAACAGAGTAGCTTCTCAGCAAAGAACTGAGAATGTTCTGATGTCAGCCATGCCCGATGTTTTGGGAGGCAAGTTCGTAGGATCCTCATCAATATTCCTAGGGATCACTTCAATAATATGCCTTACCAAAAGGAGGTAGTCCATAGGTTTGGGTTGCCTGAGGGTAGACAGCATAGGGTTGGGACTGCTGAAGTGCCTGGTACTGAGTCTGGCCAGAGTAAGCAGTCTCCGATACAGGGACCGAGAGGATGTGTGCATAAGGTCTAGAAAAATGAAAACAAAAAAAGTTGCTTACATTAGACATTTCAATTCTATATACTTCAAAAAACATTTAAAGAGTACCTACTATGTGTTAAATATTGTGTGGGATACAAAGTGCAGATATAGCCCCTAACCCAAAATAGTTTATATAAGTACGGGAGACAAGACATGGAAACAACTCTGTCACAGGTAGAATGCCATGGTTGCCACACGTGAGGTACAAATAATGTACTCTGTGGGCAGAGAAAATGTATATATAGCATCTAAATTTGAGGGGAGTCAAGTGGGTAGAGGTTATGGAAGGCTTAATGGAAGTGATTGCAATTGAATTGGGTTTTGAAAGATGGGCAGAATTTCCCCAAGGAGAAACTAGAAGGGAAGGAGGTAAAAGAGAAAGCCAAAGCAAAGCAATACACTTCTGTAATGGCAGAGACTGCATGAAAGGAGTTGGCAGACAAATGAACCCCATGCTAAGGAGTGTGGCTTTACTTGATTGGCAAGAGGAAGCTGTGAAGAAACTTAAACATGACATCACCACAACGATATTTGGTTTAGGATGACTGATCTGGCCGTAGACATGGGGAAGATCAGAAGAAGGAAAGGCAAGGGAATCAGTTATAGGGCTAATGAAATAGTTCAAATGAAGAGTCATGATTATTTAAACTAGAGCAGAAGTAGAAATCAGAAAGGTAAGGAGAGAAAGGAAGAGAACCATTTTGAAGGCAAAATTCATGAAATTTGGTGATATGGGTGTGGAAAGTGCGGAAGAGCGAGTGGAGGCATTAGCAGGGATGAATCCAAGGTTGGGAACCTCAGTGATTTCGAAGTTAGTCATATCATTACCAAAGAGGCAAGACAAGAAGAGGGGAAAGTTGGTGGAGATGAGCTCCATTTTGGATATGTTGAGTCTAAGATGTCAGTAAGACATGCATGTCAAGCTATTCAACAAACAGTTAAGAATGAAAGTCTGGAGCTCAGAGGAAAGGTCAGGGTTAAAGACACAGCAATGTCTTCGAATGTCTTTAGAAGTGAATGACTCGGTAGGTATCAATAAGATCACCAAGGGAGAGAATAGTGAGGGAGAAGAAAGTCAAAGGTAAAATCTTGAGAAACTCTTTGGCAGCAGGAAAAGGATTTAATAAAAGAGGATATGAGAAATACACAAATGAAGAGTTAATATCAGTAACCATAAATAACCCCAGGGGGCTTTTCTCTATTGCAAAAATGTTCATGACCTCTGGCCAAGGTTTCCAAACAGTAACATCACAGAATATATACCCTTTCCCTTTTCATATTCTTATTTTTTGGTGCCTAAAGAACAAGGGTGTCATGGAAATTAATACCTTCAATTGAGTTCTCTGCTACATCTTCAAAAGTTGGAAGCAAATGGCTGGCCTCTTAATGACTGAGAAGACTATAAGCATACTTCCACATTCCAGCTGAGAGGAAAATTACAATCTAGGACAAAGGTTCTCAAAGTGTGGTCCAGGGAACCCTATAGGTTCCCAAGACCTTTTCTGCAAGGTCAAAACTATTTGCATAATAAAACTGGACATTTAAATATCTAATGTGGCAATAATGGATCTAATCCACATAAACAAAACTCTTGAGGGCCAGAGGGAAGGGTTTCCTCTCAACATTTTTTAAGAGTCTAAAAGGGTCCTGAGACCAAAAAGTTTGAGAACCACTAATCTAGACTGAATTGTGAAGAAGTAGCAATATATATTCACCTGTCTCGTCTTTTCTAGGAACAGAAAGAAAAGAGAGAGCTAGACATCAAATACAGTCAATTCTCAATAGTCTACAGAACATCTTTTTCTTCTCTTTTGACTACCTGGGTATTTCTTGGGTCATTAGAATGTCTATCAATAGGACAAACCCGAGATGGAAAAGAAATATAATCAAATTTATCTGCTTTATTAAAGATTTAACTTCTGAAAACTTACTATTCACACTAAATAATGATGGTTTCTTTTGGTTTTAATAAGAAACTTCCTTATTCTTGGTGTCATTCCTGACTTAGTATTTTTAATGTACTGAAAGGAATCCAGTCTAATGCTGGTGCATCTGGAGACAAAGCAAACGTACTGTTATCTGACCCTCCTCTCCTTCACTCCCACAGTTCAGGCCCCGAGGCCCTCTTCCTGGTCTCCCTGCATCATCTCTCCCTAGTTCAGGCCACCCATCTGCTAACAAAGTTCTTTTCCTTAAGCACAGATCTGGCCACGTGACTCTTCTACTCAATAAACACCAATGGCTACCTATTGCACCTCTGAGATAAAACAGAAATGCCTCTGTTTAGCTTTTTAAAGCCCTTCACAAAAAAATTCTCTGATAAAGGCCTCATTTCTCAAATACATAGAGAATTGAGTCAAATTTATAAAAACACAAGTCATTTCCCAATTGACAAAATGGTCAAAGGATATGAATAGGCAGTTTTTAGCAGAGAAGTCAAAGCTATCTGAACTCAAGTGGAAAAATGCTCTAAATCACTATTGATCAGAGAACTGCAAATTAAAACAACTCTGGGGTATCACCTCACACCTATCAGAGTAGCTAACATGCAAAAAAGGAAAATGCTGGATGTTGGAGGGTATGTGCGAAAACTGGGACACTAATGCATTGTTGGTGGAATTGTGAACTGATCCAACCCTTCTGGAGAGTAATTTGTAACTGTGCCCAAAGGGCTATAAAACTGTGCATACCCTTTGATCCAGCAATACTTAGCTGTAGCTAGGTCTATATCCCAAAGACATCCCAAAAAAAAAGGGAAAAGGACCTATCTGTACAAAAATATAGCCGCTCTTTCTGTGGTCGCTAAGAATTAGAGATTAAAGGGATGCTCATCAATTGCAGAATGGTTAAACAAGCTGTGGTATGACTGTAATGGAATATTATTGTGCTATAAGAAATGACAAGCAAGATGATTTCAGAAAAACTGGGACAGAGTTCTATGAACTGACACATAGTGAAGTGACCAGAACCAGGAAAACACTGTATACAGTAACAGCAATATTGTTCAATGAAGAATTGTGAGTAACTTAGCTATTCTTAGCAATACAATGATCCACGATAATCCCAAAGGACTAATGAGGAGGCATGCTATCTGCCTCCAGAGAAAGAACTGATATTGACTAACTACAGACTGAAGTGTGCTATTTTTCACTTTCTTTCATTTTTTTCTTTTGAGTCTTCTTGTACAAAATGACTAATATGGAAATGTTTTACATAATTGCACGTGTATAACCTATGTCTGATTGCTTACCGTCTCAGGGAGGCAGGAGGTAGGAATAGAATTTAGAACTCAAAACTTTAAATAAAAATGTTAAAAAAAATTTAAGGAAGAAAAAAAGCCCTTCACAACCCAGTTTCAACCTATCTTTCTAGCCATATTCAACATCGTTCCCCCTCCAATACGATGCAATCCAGCCAAACTGGCTGTTTCTCTATTCCTCACTCGTGACACTCTACCTCTCATGCCCGTGCTTTTAATTGGCTGTCCCACAACCCTGGAATGCTCCTTCTTCCTTCTCCTCATCTTGTGTAGCTGCCCTCTTCCTTTAAGACTCAGCTCAAGTACCTTCTTCTGACTGAACCCTTTCCTCATCTACCCAATAGTTAATGCTTTCCCCCTTTTAAATTACCAAGTATTTCTTCAACTACCCTCTATGTATTTGTATGTTCTCAATTTATGCCTCATAGATTTATATCTGTACTTGTTGTCTCCCCCTCAATAATGCAGCCTTGCCAACAAGGTTGTTTTATCCTGTGTACTTACATCCCTGACACAAAGGAGGTGCTTAATAAATGCTTACTGATTGATTTATTAGGTTGTGACTCTATGCCAATAAGTTCTAGGGCACCTAATCTGAATCATTCCAAAGGTAAAATTCCCTAGCAATTAGCTACCAAAGAAAAACCAACCAAGACAAGAACGTCACAGCCTTTAAAGGATAAAGCCTAGAACTGTCTCTCTAGAGGGGACTTTTTCTGGATTTCCCTTACAAAAACCAGACCACTGCATCCTGGAGAGTCTTCAACACACAGCACCTGGCTGTCCTCTTCACCCTTTCCAAAGCATTAAACATAAAGGGTTAATTTGGTGGTGGTTGTGGAAGTATTAAATTTTAAAAATAAAAACAACCCATTTTCATTCTGAACTTAACAAAAATCAAATAAGTATTTCCATATACAAAGTAGAAAAGAAACAGTAGGAGGTACACAGAACTCCAAATCACCACTGTGTATACCCTGCTTTTCCTTTAAGTATACAATAAGTTAAACACATAACCTTCCGAGATAGTTTGCTTGTCTGTTTCCTTCTGACCTCCTTTATGTTCTCTTCCATGCATTTTAAAATGCTTTTCAATGACATTTTTAAGGGGTTAATTTGAAAAGTTGCATAGTTCAACAATCCTTTACACATAGCAAGTAATCAATAAATATTTATTGAATAAAAGAAAAACTTGGAAGATTTCTCAGAGTATATTCTATGCTCATATTCTAATGGAATTGGAATTTTCTTTGCATAACACATAAAGAAACAAGGTCTCTAGTGGCCACAACCCAAGGTGCATGGTTATCTACAGCACACATAATTTGACAATGAGTAATAACCCCAAGTATTTCAACTGGATTACTTCTCTCTGGTGAGAGTGCTTAGGTCCTTCTCACAAACACTAACAATAACAACAGTTCTGTTCATATTCATTTTTCCTGTGAGAGCTCAATATACTTTCATATTTAGTGGTATCATTCCCCACAACAGCTCTAGGAAGAAGGCTCGGGTAGACCTTCATTTTGCCTTCAGAGAAGCCCCATCTATCTGAAGTCAGGGGTAAAATGGGTTTCTGTGTTTGTACAAGCCCCTCTAGGCCCAAACTCCTCTGGATGCACTGTTTTTCCAAGGTGAGGCTTATTTCAACCCCAAAAAGCCAGGCCTCTCAGAAGGCTGCTCTGCCTGTGACACTAATGGGCTTATTTCTCCTGTAAGGACCTTCTGTCACAAAGGTCAACAGCCCAGTCGGAGGACAAGCTGGAAAATGTCAGTGTCTGTAGCGATGGTCTTCATTAGCCCCTAGACAGGGCTTAGGCCTCCAGGGAAAGACAGTGATCAAAAGGCAGTGAACCCCTGCCATTACCAATACTTTCAGCACTTCCTAACAGAATGCTTCCCTGTATGACTCCCAGATTAACAGATTCACAAAAACATCTGGCTTATAACAGCACGTACACCTTTATGCCTGGGGAATCATAAACTTACAGAAAAGGAGGGATATGAAAAGATAATTCAATATCCAAAGTAAAGTAAATAAAAAAAAAAAAGAAATCCAGAGGAACAGTATGTGAATTTTGGAAACAGTGAATCAACTTACTTTGCAGAATACATCTGTGAGGTATAATCATTTGATGATCGAGGGATGTAATCGGCACATGTCATAACTGAAATAAAAAAGATCATCAGATAAAATAAACAGAAATAAATTTTCAAGTAAGGTCAAATGGAGTTTTTACATATCCCACAGTACATTCTTTAAAAGCAGTGCAGGAGGGCTGGTATATTGAGGTGGAGAAACAACTGTATTGGAAGTCAAGAGACCTGAGTTTTAGTCCCAGATGTGCCCAAGTGGGGCCATGGGCACAGCCCTTCCCTCCAGAGATCCTCTAGATCCTTAGCAAAATGAGGGGGCTGGGTGAGCTCCTTTGGGCTCTGGTACTCTGTTCCTGCAGAAACAAGCTCAGGAGAGAAGGCAACAAGGACAGAAATATTCTGCACCAATACAGGTTTCAGTGCTTGCCAAATGCCCATATGTTAATTTTCTAAGGGGGTCACACTTTGCATTCACTGCCCTCTCCAATCTGCACCTGTCTCCGCTCCCGGGGAGGTAGCAGGAGTAGCTCTGCCATCTCCCAGATGCCTCTGTGTGCAAAACTGGGAGCCAAGGTCTTGCCAAGAGGCAAACAGAAGGTTTCTAAAACTGCACCTGCCTCTGCTGACTTGTGAAGAATAGGGACATCTGACTTGAATGGACATCAAAACAAGATGGCAGGAGGCAGACAGGGAAAACTATGGCTCCAAAACAGCTTTAGTATCAGCAAAGAGCTAAGTGGAGAACCTCCCTGTAACTCACAGAATCACAGAAGTTTAAAGCTGAAAAGGTCTCTAGAGATCATTGAGTTAATTCGTTCACTTTACAGTGGAAGAACTGAGACCCAGAAGGGAACTTACATAAGGGCAAAGAGAAAATCAGTGGCAAAGATGAGAACAGAGCCTAGGATTTTGGACTCCCAGTCCACAATCTTGCCTCTATAACAAGTCACGGTCTCTTATTTAAAGGTGGCATTTAGGGCTGTCCAATGTCCCCTGAAAAGGGGCCAAAGACAGAGCAGAGGTAAACTAATGTGTAGAGGTAGAAACAGAAGGCCAGACTCCAAGGTTTTCCTAGCACCCCTTGGATGATAGGCCTTTTCTTAGCAACATCCCACTGTCCTCCTGGGGAGCAAACCCTCAATTAAAGGGCAAACATGGCAAAATGCTCACGCCTCAGTGGCAGAAGCAAAATCCTATTGGGTCTCATAGAGCAAGTCCATGCTACATGCAGACTAATACTAGATGTGACAAGCTCTTACTAGAATCCTCAAGAACTTTGTCTAAAATAAGTAAAACTGTGCCCTCTAGGGTAAACAATGGGAAAGCAGACCAAACCGTGCCTCTAGCCAGATGATTTTAAAGAAGTCAAAAGGACCCTTAGTTCAAGGGAAGATTAAAGTCAGGTCAGGGGTGGACCAACGCAAATCAATGTTTGAGTGAATTTATGAAACAGATTCACCAAACAATCGAATTAAGTTTAAGGAGTAAAATTCACTTAATAGGAAAAATTGAGAATGATGGAGGAGGCCTCACCTAATTCTGATGATTTCTCTAAGTTACTTCCTCATGTGTCACATAGTTCTTGGCTTGGGCTGTTACCATGGAAGCAAGAAGAAACCACTCTTGAAAATTTAAAGGCCACGTTCAAAAGTAAGCTGAATAACAACTTAAGTAACCAGAAGTATCTGGGCTGAAATTAAGAAGTGAGGCAGTGAGGTGGCAGAGTGGGTGAGAATGCTGGACCTGAAGTCAGGAAGATCTGAGTTCAAATGCAGTCTCAGATACTTAGAAGCTATGTGATCCTGGGCAAATCATTTAACTTATGTTTTCCTCAGGTTCCTTAACTGTAAAATGAGCACCTACCTCCCAGGGTTGTTGTGAGAATCAAATTAAATAAGACACATACAGTGCTTTAAAAACCTCATTTACATGAACACCTACTATTGAATCAGTTCTAATACTAATTTACACAGGTAAAGGGGCATCACCATAATCTATTTCCTAAGAGCCTTTTAAAAATCTTTTCCCTGAAATATTCCAGTCCTCAAAGACACTATAAAAGAGAAAACAGAGTAAAAATTCTGGGAGCTGTGGGCCAGGGGTTTAATCACATACTTCTCACTGCTCTCAAGAACAGTGAGACCTGGCCCCAGTTTGAAAGCCAGGAAGATTTAATGATCCAAAAGGAATTAACTGGTAAAACACAATAGGAATGTCAAAAGAGAGGGTTAAGAGAAGAATATGGTAAATATTATGTCAAGGAGGCGCCTGTTCTGCATCAGGGATCCTCTAAAGGTTAGTTATGGATTGGATTAGTGTGGCCATTTGGAGAATTAAGGAGAGGAGGAAATACATCCAGAGCATAAAAGCCATCTCAGGAGATAGATTTTCCATTGGATGGAGGCAGGGAACAGAATTCTAAGATAGCGCCTACTGCAGGCATGAAAGGGGACCCTTGGGTTAGATGGGATGTTCTAAGATAGGAGTTAGGAACTCCCAGAGTCTGTGAGTTTTTGATAACTGCATTTCAACATAATGGTTTTCATTTGTAATCCTATGTATTTTATGTTATCCATTTGAAAACATTCAGAGAAGGAGTCCACAGAAAAAAAAAGGTTAAGAATTCTTGTTCTAAGGTAAAGTGGTGAAGTTATCTTGAGTGAGGGGAAGAAATTTTGAAAGGCAAATGTACTACAGAGATAGAATTTTTAAAGGCCATATGATGAAAGAGAAGTGGCTGTTTAGCATTTGTGTCTCCCTCCCTCTCTCTTTTGACACTAGGTCTCTATCTCACCCAGGTTGAAGGTGCAGAGTCCATTCATAGCCCCGATCCCACTAATGAGTAGCAAGGAAGCTTTGACTTGCTCCTTTTCCAAACTGGGCTGTTTCCATCCTCAGGCAGCCTAGTGACCACCCACCCCATCAGGAGTTCATGCTATTGGCACCAGACTAACTGAAGATTCCCAATTGGCTTTAGCCTATCTGTAGCTCAGAACTCTCAAGTTCAAGAGATCCACCAGCCCAAGCCTTCCCAGCAGCAGGGATTATAGGTACGTGCCACCATGCTGGATTGTTTAGTATCAAAGGGACTGGCTTGTTTCTTTTATAAATACTTTTTTTCTCCTTTCAATCTGGCATGAAGCTGAACCCTGTTTTATGTGTTTCCCCTAATTAGAACATGAGCCCCTTGAAAGATATGGATCCATTTGTTTGTATCCTAAGTACTAAGTATGGTGCTGTACATACAGTAAGACCTTAATAACTGCTTCTCTACTTCACTCCATTTTTTGACTGACTGTCCTGTAATGTGTATGGACTTCCTAGAGAAGTAAGCACCCTTGGTTATTTCTGTGATCTAGCAAGGAAGGAAGATAGAAGGGCGTCAGTGAGAGGAGTTTGGTAACTTAAATCTGGAGACTATTTTAGAAAACAAAAGCAGACTTCTGGCTCTCAGAAGACCTATTTCAGATATTTAATGTGACAGCTTATTACTAATTTGCCCAACCTCTCAAATTCTTCTTTTGTCTTGGGCTGCCGGGTTAAGCCTTGAAGCCCTACGAAGACTCACAAGCTTTTCTGTATGGCCCTGCTATCCCTAGGACACTGGCCCCTCTGCTTAGAATCTGAAAGAAATCCCTAAATTGGACTCACTACATGAGAAGCTGGGTGATTTTGTTCTCCATCCAGCAGTCCAGGAAAAGTGAAATTTGTCCTCTTTGCACACAATGGAAATGAATTACTGAAAGGATCTGTTTCTTGGATACTTACTTTCATCTGACATGGTAAGGTTTGAAGCAAGGCTTGAAGTTTCAGGTTTCTGATCACTGCCCTCAGGGTTGCTCACTTGACTGGAGGGAATCAAAATTAACACATTAGCCACCAAATCATAACTGAAATGATTGACAATGCTTAAAGGCTGGCTTCTCCACACCTCAGGGGGAAGTGATCTCAGCCACCACCTGAGATCATAGCAGTCTTGCCTTTCTCTTTTGGAGTCTCTCATGTGCTAATCTATTTTCTATTTATCTGGGGACAATTTGTAACTCTCCCACTTAGTGGTAAGCTCCTTGAGGATATGGACCCTGTTTTTGTCTCCCTGCACATCTCCCCCAAAACACTTGGGATTTACCTACACATAGGAGGAACTCTCTATATTTGTGGATGGTATGAATAAACGTTCCTGGTGAGTCTGGAAGAAACCCCTCTCCAACTTCACCTTGCTCCCTGCAGGCCAATGGGGGCCCTGGGGCTTTGAGGCCCTCAGGCCTATAGGATCTCTTTGTGGCTTCCAGGGAAAAGTTAAGATCGGGGTGCCCAAAGTGCTTTCCCCAGGATTCCATTATGGGGGTTCTGGGTCCCCAAGATGCTGCTTCAAGTCTTGATAGCATACAGAAGCTCCAGAAAGTAGTCTGGTTGGCAATAGGTGTGGAATGTTATTATTAAACCCAGCATAATTACTATATAATTTTTAACTCCTAAATGATTTCTTTTCCATTTAAGAAAGCCATAAAAGCACCATAGAGGTAGAAATGGAAATGGAAAAGGGTCTACTGGGGGTCAAGAGGCTAATCTGTACACAGATTCAAATATACAAGGGCTAAGATTATGTTCCCAAAGCATAACAAGATAGCAGAAGAAATTTGACATAATAGTTAGCCTATGAGTGGGATATTATTCCTATCTCCTGACACTAGCACTGTAAAAGAAACCTATTTTATTATTCCCATCAAATAGAAAATTGATGGAAAACACACACACATACACCAAGCAAGTCAGAGAACAAATGAGGAAAGGCGACTCACATGTAGAACAACAATTGGAATGGGGTAATCGCTGTGCTATGATCTCGGGAAGACTGATACCAGCCCTTACAAGCACAGTCTATTTCCCTTCCAAGTTTCCCCTGTTCCTCCCCACAACTGTCTCCTCTATTTCCCCTTCTATTTTTCTCCACCCTCTCAACACTTCCTCAACTTCTGCTCTCTCTCAGCCCTCTCTCTTGTTGCTTCTTCATGGTCTTGATGAGATGACCATCCTGTTTCTCTAAGAACTAGAGTAGGGGGATCCACAGGACCAAAAGGTTCCAGTCCATGTACTGTCGGCCAAAAAAGAACAGGATGAAAAAAAGAGGTTATGACTGTATAGAGATACTACTAGAAAAAAATATTAGATGTACCCAATACAGAGTCTCAAACATCCTCATTGTATACCCAAAACCAAATGTCAAAGCCCAGGTACAAAAATGACAAATAAAAATTCTTTTGTTCCCTGACAGTCTTGTCCTGAGAATGTATTAGTAAAGCATGGAAGCACAGATTGTTTCATATGATCTCCCAAATATATGTTTTCCTAAGCCACACTGTATCTCAGAGTATTTCATTCTGATCTTTGATAACTTCTAAATTTTCTAGCACTGACAAAAACCTTTTCTTTTTTTTAAACCTACCTCTGCAAATGAGAAAACTGACACTTTGTAAGCTGTCAAGCACTATGTAAATGCTAGCTGTTATATATGCTAAACAACATTTGGACAGCTCAGTAAGGTCCTCCTCAGTTTATTAGCTCAGGTAAGATTGGAGTTAGCACTGAAAGCACTGCTGTAAACCTCATTCTTCAATGAGATGTAAAACTGGTAGATATCACTTCTGAAAACCTGCGAATCTTAGGGGGTAGAGAAGAGGGGTGGGAAAGAAGACACATTTAAAGTCATACTCAAGTGCTCTAAGGAAGCTACTACTTAAGGAATCCTATTATGACTTCTTTTCTTTTTGCCTTTTTTTTTTTGGTGAGGCAATTGAAGTTAAGTGACTTGCCCAGGGTCACACAGCTAGTAAGGGTCAAGTGTCTAAGACTGGATTTGAACTCAGGTCCTCCTGACTCCAGGGCTGGTGCTCTATCCAATGCGCCACCTACCTGCCCCATGACTCCTTTTCTAAAGCGAAGAAATCTTTCAAAAATATATTGCCCCCACTGATTTAGCTTTTATGTAAAAAAAAAAAAGGAATTTTAAAATAACATTTGTTTTTAAAGTGCTATGTACCTGGTTCAAGTATCATTTTCATTTATGATCTTTCATCTTATTTTCAATGTATAAGGCACTGCTCCTCTCAAAGCCACTTTCAGTCAATTTGGTAAAAAACGAGAGCTAATGAAATGTCTTATTTAAATGATGCCCTAGAAATTCAACCTTTGCCACTACTTCTATAATTCAATTTTTTCAAAGGGCCAGGAAAAAGTACACATCAGAACTATTTCTTATATCTGTTTAGGACTCTCAGCAGAAAGTCACTAGGGTCCAGCTACGTCTATCTGCATGTTAAAGGGGGAAAAAAATCAGGTTATTTTAAAAATTAGCAATTCCTTTGAATTCTCCTTGATAAGAAAGCAGCAGTTCCTGAATGTCGTTTCTCCCAGTGATGTTTTCCAGAGTTATTGGTGCCTTAGTGCCAAAAGAACTTTCTATATGGAAAATCAAGGTTAAGTGCTACAGAAGATACATCACATACAATAGTCTCTAATATAAGTATTGCATTTCCTCAGACATCCCAGAAAACAGAATGGTAGGATGGAAAGAACACTGAACAAGGAGTGAGAAGCTCTGGGTTCAAGTCTTAGTATCAACTCTCCTGAAGCACTGTCTGCCACCTCAAAGGAGTGTTAGGGAAAAGTGCTTTGCAAACTGTAAAATGCTATAATCATATGAGCTCTTACACAGAATCCCTATGCTCTCCAAAGTTAGAGGCACTAGAATTCAATTCAACAAACATCAATTGGCACCAATTACATTTAAAGCAACTTGCTAGTTAATTACAGCTAGAATCCTGATAACTATAAGAAGAGTTTGTGAAGAGGATTCAAACTTATCTGCAATGCTGCAAGTGGAACTATATGGGAGAGCCCATCTGTTGCAACATTTGTTGAAAACTCATTCTGTACAGAATCCTATACAAGGCACTTTGGAGAGGGACAGAAGCAATTTAAGAAACAAGACTTTCCTTGGAGTGTCTAAAAATTTAATCTAGGAAGAATGGACATAACACAAAAAATGGACTCAATGCACAGGAAAATGAACACAGCATACAAAGTAGAAAAGTCATGGTGGAAGTTGGTTAGGGTTAATCCAGAAAGGTTCTACCAGAAAAGGAGGTTTATTTTGAATCATGATTGGAAGAAGAATGTCATGGAATAGCAGAAAGAAAAGGGCATTTCAGAAAAGCGAGACAGCCAAAATAAAAGGTACACAGGCAAGAACACTCAATCTCAGCAGGCTGCTATGAGGGAAGTAGTTTTTTTTTTTATTTAAAGCTAAAGTATTTCATCGGTTTACTTCTTAACATTATATAATGAACATGAAAAAAGGATAACATCACAGCTTTTCTGTTAGATTTAAGTCAAAGACATTCACCAAAAGGCATCCACAAACATGACTATTCAGAAAAGTTTCTCTACACCAACTGATCAAGAATACCTGTCTTTAGGGGCAGCCAGGTGGCACCGTGGATAGAGCACCGGCCCTGAAGTCAGGAGGACCTGAGTTCAAATCCAGCCTCAGATCAAACTTGACACACTTGACACACTTACTAGCTGTGTGACCCTGGGCAAGTCACTTGACCCCAATTGTCTTTAAAAAAAAAAAGATTAAAAGAATAACTGTCTCTAAATATTATCCACCTAGAAGGCACTGGCATAGATTTGAGCTGAAATTAGCATTTTCCCCCAAAATAAAGCCTTAATTTAAAAAGCTAGCTTATATTAAATGAAAAAGAAGTTTAATATAGCTTTCAAGAAGCAATAATAAATGAGAGAAGGCATTGATGCGAGTCAATAAACACTTATTAAGCACCTACTAAGTTTTGCTAGGTAGGTACTGTGTTAAGCACTGAGATATGGAAAATGGTCTTTTATAAGTCACAGTAAGAAAACAATGTATATTGAACTTCCACTTACTCAAAATGGGATTATTTTCTATCCTTCAACTTTGGAAATTCAAAGAACAACATATTATAATTATAAACTCATGGCAGAGGACTGTACCCCCCCTCCTCCATCTCGGCCCCAAAATCCATGCAGCCAAGCAAGGAAATATCTCGGAAGAATTTGAAAAACCTGATAGTTGGATTAGAAGTTCTGTTTGTAGTTTCTTGTTATGAACCATAACAATACTATGCTGGACACAGCAGAACTAACTCACTTGTGTGATACCAAGATAAGCAAAACCCACTGCTCTTGAGGAAGCCTTTCCTACCGAGAGGTCAAAGTTGTTAGTGAAGCACCCTGACTTCTATGTCAGCTTACAAGTACGGTGTATTGCGGGCTTCCTATAGGGCCAGTGTTCATTCTTAGCACGGTTAGGCCAAATCCATATATCAAATGATCCTTCTCCAGGTCATACTAATTCCATGCCATCTATAAAATCTATGACTGCAAAAACTTTATAATCACTTCTATCATTCAACCTAAATTGTGATCAATAATCTGTGCCTGAAAATAGCCCCTGTAGTTAACAATAATAGCACACACAACAATCCGATTATAATCCCTATAGTCACCAAAACATTACTGATCCATTGTAGGCCCAAAAATGTTTATAACCATAATTTTTCTCAATCAAATTCACAGCCAGATGTGCACAGTACAAACAGCAACTTAAAAACCACGCCCCTTCCCCTACTTCTTACAGAACTACTCTTGGGGAGACATTCTATCTGCTTAGTGCCAATAAAGGCTGGTATTGCCAAACTGTTGCTCCATTAAGGTTTGTATCTGGGAAATATCGCATTGCAGAGCACAGCTGTTTATTAACCGAACAGAAAATAAAGTTATGCTTGTGACAACCAGTGAGTTTCAAGGTCTTCCAAGTCATATAAAAACGGACCTGCAAAAGCATTTTAAGTGTTTTTCAGTTGCAAAGTTAGAGCTGAAATATATCATCAAACCAACTGCAAAAGCACATATTAACTATCTTTTGTGATGAGACCGGGTACTCATATATAAAAAGAAACTTTAAGACATACGTAGCTTGGGGCAGTTAGGTGGCGCAGTGGATAGAGCACTGGCCCTGAAGTCAGGAAGACCTGAGTTCAAATCTAGCCTCAGACACTTGACACTTACTAGCTGTGTGACCCTGGGCAAGTCACTTAACCTCAATTCCCCACCCCCGGCAAAAGACATATGTAGCTTGTTGGCCTTGTCCCACATCATTTCATGATTTGATCACATTTGAATTTCACAAAAGATTCCTCTGCTAATTTTATAGGAGGCCTTGCTTATATTCCTCCCAAACTCAATCGCATAGTCTTTTAAAAGATATTTACACAACATTCTCCCTCCCTCCCTTTGTCATAATATAAATGCTGGCTGGCTTGTCTTCATCCAGGACAAGCCTGGGGAAGTGAGTGCTCTAAGTCCTCAAGAGCATGACTGACTGTGTCTCCATCTAAAAGCAACTGTATTCTGGGTATATGTTAAGACTCCATGGCCCAGGCCAGGCAGATGGAGGCAGGGTGGAAGGGGGGGGGCTCAGTGACCATACCCAAACTGAAGGATGACAAGGAGTAGGACGGCAGCAGTAAGGCAGGCCAGCCTCTTCCAGAGTCCTGGCTCCTGTGCTCAGAGGGCTGAGCCAAGGCAGCTCCAGGGCCGACTCCTGCACAAGCCTGAAACTGTGCCATAAATGGCAGGGAACACAACCATCACCAATGTCACAATCATTACCAAGTGTCCCGAGACAGCAGAGAGGACATGTTATGGCATAACAGGAAGTGATGTGGTGACAGAGCACCACTACAGACTCCATTTGAGAAGACCTAGGCTCTAGCTCCAGCTCTGACATCCTGCAGGCCCTAGTGTAATTACTCAGCTTCTCTAAACTTCAGTTTGTTTCCTTACGTGTAAAATGGGAGGACTATATCAGATAATCTTGAAGATCCCATCTGACTCTCAAATCCTGCGATCTAGAGATTGGTAAGGAGAAAGTAGGTGTTGACAAATGACCCTGAAGACCAGAAAAGAAATGATGTTTTGTTAAATAGGAGAGTCATGATCAGTCTTTGTGATGAGCTGAGTTGTGAGGGGGTAGGGGCAGATGGAAGCTTACTCCAGAAATCTGTCCCTGGAGTCTGTCCTCAGTCTCACCAGTATTTCCCAGAACGGTGTCAGAAGCCAAAGGAAAGAAGACTTACAGATGGAGATGGGAAGGAAGGAGAAAGTGACAGGATGGGAAGGAAAGGGTGAAAAGAAAGGAAAGCATCCAAAGTGTCTTGGAAAGAGTGCCAAGTCTGGAGTCAGAGGACCTGGGTTAGAACTCTCATAGCTACTCACACCACCTGTGTGGCCCAGGGCGAGTCACTTAACATACAAGGAGACCTTTCTTCATCCGTAAAATAAAAGAATAGCAACAGCAACAGCAAATAAGAGCAGCTGGTTTTTATTTATCCCTTTAAGGCCCCAAGCACTTACACCAAAGGCTACTGGCAGGGAGACAGGTGAACTGAGATGGACTTGGAGAGCCTCTGTAACTTGCCCAGCATCCTAAGCCAGTGCCTGAGGCAGGATTCCCATCCAGGGCTTCTGGCTCCAGTTCAGCACTTTATTCTCTTTGCAAATTTCCTTCGATCTTAAATTCTATCACCAGCCAGTCCAAAGAAGCAACATGCTCAGTACCCAAGATGTGAGAGAGAAATAACTCTGAGTAGCCCCAAGGTAGAGATTTCATACTTCTAAAACATGTGTAGAACTACAAGCTACTTGAAAAAAAAAAGTTATAAATGTGAAAGTTATTTACCAGAAGCACAAAGCAGGAAAGAAACTCTTAGATTTACAAAAGGTCACAATTTTTCAGAGCACCAAATGCCAACACTGTTATTCCTAAAGTGGTCATACTTCATTCTTACATACTATTCCCCAAATATTCACAAAACCCTATGTATTAACATTACTTAATGGATCCTGTTGGAGAAAAAAAGGAGATGGGGCAATGTTTTTAACCCCCACTTTAGATTTAGAGGGGTTGGAGGTAGAGGGAGGCCTGTGATTTTACGGGCTTGCAGGGGTGGGGAATTCCTGGATTAGGAAATCACCTCTACCAATGAGGGCTGGTTACCAAATGTTCTCAGCAATTTATGAGGGCTGCCTAAAGCAGAAACGTTAAGTTATTTGCCCAGGATCACATAGTAACATGTGTCAGAAGCTAGACTTAAACCCAGGTCATTCTGGCCCCTAGGTCACCTCTACTAACTAAAAAGGGAAAGCCAGGCAAAGACTTAGAGAAATAAACAAGGAGAGAAAAAAAGAGGGATAATAACATATCACCACTTATATTTGTACAGAAGCTTCTATCACCAAAGCTGTCATGCACATTACCTTACTTATTCCTCATAAAAATCCTATAAATAGGTAGAAAATGGTATCAAGTCAAGACTCAATTAGCTACACACTCATTTTGGGCTCTCTTCCTCATAAGGTCAAGTATGGGTGGTGTCAGAGTATCTGAATGCAAGGTGGGGGAGGGGTGGCTCAAAAAAGAGGGAAGTATCTGAGAGTAGCTTTGTGCAATACTTCCTACAACTTCCTCAGCAGGAAAGAAGGAAGGCAGAGGAGGGCAAGGGATGATTGAAAAATCTTCTAAGAAGCCAGAGGTCTTTGTAGGCTTCAAAACCATATGGTTCTAATATCACAACAGGCATTTAGAAAGTAAATAAAAATAGCACTCTGAATTGGTCATGATACTGGTAATGAAAGGATTAAAACCAATTATTAAAGTCCTGAAATTTTCCTAGTTTAGTTAGTATTTGAAGTATTTCATGACCAGATTTGTGTCAGTATCCTCAGTGAGATACAAAGAACCTTTTCTGTACCTCCTTGCCAAGTGTTCTCCATCCAAAAAATGGAAACAGCTGCTTTAAAATATAATTGCATCCTTTTAGTCAATGCCCTTCCCCCATCCCATGGCCCTGGACCAAAAAAAACCTAAAAAGGTAACTGGAATAGACACCATTCCTATTAAATAGTCAACAAACACTATATCCGTTGATAATCAGTAAACAGAGGTGTAGGGGAGAGAAAGTTTTCTTTGAAGATAAATGTCCATCTTAAACCAAGTTGTTTGGCAGTATGAAGTAGATAGTAAATGATAAAGTATTCGATCTGTGACATTATTCCATCTAAATCAGAGCATACACCATGACGAGGTGGGAAAGCAAAAGTAATAAAGACAAGGTTGGAACGGATTATAGAGAAGTTTAACTTTACCCACCTCAAAGTCTGCTCTCCCGAATCTTGAATCTTGGCTTTCTTCACCTGCAAAGACAAATTGATAAATGTGCACCAAGAGAATGATCTTTCTGGCCCAGACAAAACCTAGGGGTTACAGTGGTAAACTTCTGTTGGAAACTAATTATTGATTTGCCTATTATAAGATTCTATTTTGAGAGTAAATTTAATTAGTCCCAGTGTTTGTATACTGTGGCTAAAGAAACAAGCTACTCTAACTTTTGGCTGGATCCAAAAAAATTTCATATCATGATGATGATGATGATGATGATGATGATGATGGTGGTGGTGGTGGTGGTGGTGGTGGTGGTGGTGGTGGTGGTGGTAGCGGTGATGCTTTTTGTGTAAATTCTGATTTCAAAGCTAAACTTTCACCAGAAAACAGATTCATCAGACTAGCAGTGGGAACTCCAAGATACACATCACAGAGACAGTTATACAGAATCATTAGTTGGAAAAGACTTTAGACATCATCTAGTCCCACTTCATTTTGAACCCTTACTCATTCTAGAGATCAGAAAACTAAGAAACTTAGAAAAAGTCATTTGCCCAGGCTCAAACACTGACTCACAGATAAAGTCAGGTTTCCTGACTCCCATTCTGCTGCTTTCTCTAGTAGATCATCTCTGCTGCCTCCAACAGTGTATAGTCCAAGAAGAGTTTTCTATTTGTAAGTGAAAGAGGCCTACTGAAGGCCTACAAAACCACAATTTTTTAAGAAAAAGGACACAAATTCTGGCTTTAAACCCTGTAGAATTATAGAATTTTAGAGGAAGGAAGGGAAAATCAATTAGTCCAACCCCTTCACTTCACAAAAAAAAGCAGGTGAGGCCCAAAGAGAGGGACTTACCCAAGGAGCCATAATGAGCCAGTGACTGAGCTGGTTCAAACCCAGGTCTTCAGACAGTCAAGTAAGGGTTCTTTTTGCTACACTACACTGCCTGTCTTTTAACTACCATCATTTTTTCCCTCCAAAATTATTTTAAAGTTAAAAAATAATTAAGAGTCTATCAATAAGTCTTGCCTTGCATTTGAAAGTTTTTAAAAACCAAGTTAATGTTTATTCCCCTAACATGACAAGTACAGAACATAAACTGGTGAGGGGCAAGGATTATATTGTTTTGTCTTTGCTCGCCAAAGCTGAGCACAGACCGTTTTACATAATAGGCAACTAAGAAATCTTTTTATTGAGTAGTTGCTGAATGAGGGCATTAACAAGAAAAGCATCTAGCCAGCAACCTACAGTGTGAGGAAAATCATTTGAGAAATATTCTGGCAACCACATTCCATAATTCCTTCTCTTCTACATTTCAGCCATCGAGGGACTCTGAAGACCTTCCTGACTATAATACAGCCTACCTACAAATGGACTGGACGACCTCATGACATAGCACAAACATACAGTTGTCTCAGATGGAAGGCACTGAAGTCTCCATTTCCATCCCTCTGCCTGAAGTACAAATCTCTTCTCTTAACACTACAGAAAGGTCATTGTCATATTCTGAACACCTCCAGGAATGAGACACTCATTCAATACTGCAGTAGTCTGTTCTCTTTTCTGAACAGCTCTAACTGCTAGGATATTCTACCTTGTACTGAGACCAAATGTGCTTCTCTGTAACCTTTACCCCTAGGCTAGATAAAATCTAAGGATTTTTCCAACTCTACCAAAGTCTATTTTCTCCTTGCTAGAGCAATGATATGGGCTAAATTTTAGGACGTTTAAAACATGTTTATAATAGGAACTTACTACTATTTTACAGTTAACAGCTATACATGAGGGTGTCTTTCTTTTAAACAAATTAACAAAAGTACAACAAATTACAGAAGCCCAGAGATAGAAGGGACCTCTGAAGTAATCTAGTCCAGCCAGCAGCCAAACACGTATGCCTGACAAGTGGTCACCTGGCCTCTGACTGAAGATTCTAATGGAGGAGAATATGCTACCAGCCTAAATGCTAAGCTTGCACTACTGTATCAATAAACACTGCTAAAATCCAATCTGCTTTAAGTTTGTAGCAAGCTATACTGTCATCTCCACTCTTTTAAAAATTAGGAATCAACAGTTGATAAGATTAGAAGGGAAATAGTTAACTAGAAAAAAAGACATTGCAGCAAGTTTCTCTGATGAAGGTCTCATTTTCAAGATATATAAGGAACTGATTCAGTTTTATAGGAGTAAAAGCCATTCCCCAATTGATAAATGGTCATAGGATATGAACAGGCAATTATCAAGGGAAAAAAATCTAAGCTATCTATAACTATATGAAAAAATGACCCAGATCACTAATAATTAGAAAAATGCAAATTAAAGCAACTGTAAGGTCCTTCCTTATAACCATCAGATTGGCAAAGTCGACAGAAAGAAAAGTGATAAATCTGGAGGAGCTATGGGAAAACAGGCAAGGAACTGTGAATTAGTCCAACCATTCTGGAAAACAATTTGCCACAATGCTCCAAAAATTACTAAACTGTATACTCTATGACCCAGAAATATGACTACTGAGCCAATACCTCAAAGAGACGAAAGAGAAAAGGGATCCATACATACAAAAACATTTACAGCAGATCTTTTTGTAGTGATAAATTGGACACTGAGGGGGTGTCCATCATTTGGAGCATGGCTAAAATAAATTATGGTAATGAATAAAATGAATTATGGTAATGGGATAACATTGTGCTATAAGAAAAGATGAAAAGGATGGTTTCAAAAAAACCTACAAAGACTTGTATGAACCAATGCAGAACAAAGTAAGAAGAATCAAGAGAACAATTTATACTAAAACATTACTGTTATAAAAAGAAATAGTAGTGAAAGACTTAAGAACCCTGATCAACACGATGCTCAACCATTATTCTGGAGGACCAATGGAGAAGAAAGCTACCTACTTCCTGACAGAGAGGTGATGGGCTACAGAATGAAATATATGTATTTACCATATGATAGAGTAAAACTGATAAAATTTTTAAATATTTAAATAATTAATTTAAAAATAAGTCCATTATAAATGAATATAAACAATATTATTATATTTTCCAAAACAGAAAAAAAATAGTAAGAGTACCAATGTTGTATATATTTTCCAAATTTTTTAATATCTAGCTTAACAGTAGACAATTGGATATCTGCTTCTTCATTTAGTCTTTTGCGATATATTTTGTTTGAAATACATGAAGAAAACTCAGCCTTACACAAATCTATAATCAGAAAAAGGAAGACTATTTTGATAACCTTTTCAGATAACTGTGGAGATTCTACTCTGGTATTATACCATAACTCCCCAAGTGGTAGTTTCTTGAGGGCTCATTACAATGTGGAATCATACTCTTTTACATTAAAATCCATTGGTCTATTTTGTAGATCATATTGTATCATATTGTAACATTATATATCAGTCATTTGGAGAATACTGATTCACTGAGTTATTCAGATCTTCCAAACACTGATACATTTCATTATACAAAATCAAAAATCATATTCATTAATAAATATCACCATTGACCTCATCAGAAAAGTCTTGAAATATTGAGAAGTTGTCAAGTTCACAGTGGGAGATAAAAGTTTCCCAAAATTCTAATTTTCACTTGAAATACTGAATTTTATCATTGGCAAAAAGCCTAAAATTGTTCTCCTTGAAGTGAAAGGTTAACTTCATTTATTTTTGAGAAAATATTCCAAATCTACACAATTATAATATGTGAGCTGTTCTTTCAAGTACAAGTTCCAGAGGAGGAAAAAGGCTAGTTAAGTTACTCAAACAAATGCTTTTCCTGAAGACAAACATGTACTTGGATATGCAGCAAAACTGTTCTTTGCATATGTATTCAAGGGTCAAGGTTTAATAAAATTAATACATTTTTACTGCTTCGCCAAGGACTCTCTGAAGTGAAACTGGGGAAGAATACAATGACTACCAGGACAATTTGGTGCCAGAGCCTTGATTTGTGCTAAGGTAGCAGCAGCTCTATAAGCCATTACTCCTGTATCTTCAGTGCAAACGTCAACACAGTTATTCCATAACAAACTATGAGATTCAAAAGTTATTCAGTACTGATTATTTCAGCACCACTTGTGTTTGTGGTCAAGTGTTCAAACAGAAGAGCTTCTTCAATAACTACTGGATCCTGACACCAAATAATACCAGTAGAGTGTCAAGTCCACCACATTTGCAGATTCATCTATTTGTAAGATAAAGTATAATTGTGCAGGTTAAGTTATTAACTCACATTTCATGAGTGCAGCTAAATTTTTCATTCACTGGTCATGTAGCCTCTGGAAAACTCCACTGTGTACTCAAGAGAGGAGAGTGAAAAAGTCAAATGCTCTTAGTAGTTAGTAGAACTAACGTTCTTAATGGTATTACGGAAATAGTTTTGACCTCACAGACCTCCTGCAAGGGTCTTCAGGACCCCTAGAGGTTCCCAGACCACACTCTGAGAGCTGCTGTCTTAGATTATCTTCCCACATCAGTGTTCTTTCAAGAAGTCCCTGAGGCTTGGAGAAACCACTGGGCTCTCAAAGGCTATGCTACTGGAATATAAACTCTGGAATGTCCTCCACTAACCTAGAAAAGCCTCAAATACAAGCTCAGGGCCAGGCTCACTACCAGAGGGCTGGCCATGGGGAGATCACATTAAAAAAAAAATAGTGATTTATGAAATCATCTATTAAAGTGTGGTGGGATTAGGAATTAGGAGCCAAAGTGGAGAACACCACTGGAGCACAGATCATGGTGCTGATGCTTGAAGTAATGAAGTAAACATTAATTATATTTTCTCAGAACTGGATGAAATCTAAAAGATCATCTACCCCAATGCCTTCATTTTACTGGTCAAGAAACTGAGACTCAGAGATGGGGAAGGGACTTGAATGAGGTCATACAGTATAACAGTACTAGAGCCAAGAGAATACCTAAACAGTTAAATTTAGAATAGCTCAATTCAGGATCAAATGAGTTGACATCTATAAAGGGCACTATAGATCTCAAAGTGCTACATAATGGCTATCTATTATTATTATTATTATT